GGAGCAAGAACTGGAATACGCCCGCCGGGATATGCTTCGAGATGGGCAATGTAGTGCCAAGCACCGTCAGGCGTGCTCACAATGGCGCCTTGATGGGGGTTGCCGGCGCCAGGAACGGGATTTCCGTTGCTTTGGAGAACCGGGAGATTTGTGAACACGAGCAAGGAGATGCGCTACGCCACGCGCGACCGCGTTACCGAAGAAAGCATATCATATAGCATCATCTTCATATTGTAATTTTATTCAAAAACCTGGCGGGATTTTTTATGCTGCAAAAAAAAACCATTTTCCCAACCAACTCTTATGTCGTTTTTAGTGTCGTGTCGTCAGCCTATGTGAAATGCGTGTGAATGATATCAGCACTCGTATGCAGGTAGGTCATGTCATGGAAACCGGTGTATGCGCGTGTGTGTGTGTGTGTGTGCTGCTCCTCCAACAAGAAAAAAATGGATTCGTCTGACTTCACATCTCATGTCACATTGCAACGTGACGATCTCTCGTCTCTCGTCTCATCCCGAGCTCTCCGCCAAGCACATGCACACCGAGACAAGGATGCCAATGACCGTCGAAGAACAAACGAACCTGTGCCCACCGAAGACGAGTGGGTGGGCTTTTCGGCGGAGAAGCACGCGCTGCCAGAAAAAAAACTTTAGTCAGGAACCAGGAACAGGAAACATCGCCAACGCTGGCCCCCCTGTCCCGTCGGGCATCTCTAATTCATCCCATCAGTCGCGACAACCGCAGCGGGAAATCCATCAAATCAATCATGGAATCGGTCCCATGACCATGAGCTTCGCGGCTGCCATTGCTAGTCGCTTCTCCCCCGCTCCGCTGTCGTTAGCCGCATGCAAGGTACCTAACTCAACTTCGCGCGCCCCAAAAGCTGCAGCAGCCTCTCTTTCAATTTCGCCAGGGGGGCCTGAAGAGGGTGCTGACCGCTTGCAGCTTAGCCCAAGGCACCGCAGACTGCAACTCTCTAGCGCGCGTGACCCGTCTGCTGGGAATAGGTAGGCAGGCAAGCCAGCTGAAAACCCTCCCATCCCATGGTCAAAAGCCCGGATCCGAAGGTGCTCTCGGCAGAAAAAGGCACAATACCAAACGGAAGGGATGAACAATCACAATCTCCGGCGACATCCCAAGCATTGCGGCTTAAACTCTCACCGACGGCGAGAGCGAGGACAGGACCCACTGAATACGCTCAAAGCACGGAGAACATCTTTTTTTTTTCCGTCCTCACAGTGGCCTGCCCCGGCCCAGCGGACGCCGGCAACCCGCCAAGAAGGACCCAATCTTGGTGGTGGTGGTGGTGATGGAGTCCCTCTCTCTGGTCGTGCTGGTTCGGTGTGGTGGTCTGCCTGCATGCATGCAGTTGGTTGGTCGATCGCAGGTTCCGCTCCCCGCATCCGCACCGGAGTCCATTCGCAACGGAAATAGCCCGACGGGCGAGACGACAGATAAAAACCCCATCGGCGCAAAAATTTCGTGATGAGGGTCGGTCAGCAGCTTTACTGCTTACAGACAAAGGGAAGAGAGAGAGAGGAAAGAAGTGCTGCCCGCCAAGCCCGCTCGGATTTCAGGCCGCCAAGCAGCTACGCCTTCCCATTGGACTACCAAGAGGGTTCGTTGGGAAGAGGGTGGTCTCATTCTGAACGCTACCGGGCCTGCGGATTGCGATTTTTTTTCAGCTGTTCGCGTCCGCGCCGGCCATGGACGGGGTACCTTAGCATAGCTTCGCAGTTTTGTTCGTCCAATGTTGGTGGGTTGGTTAGGAGGCGGAGACCGAAGCTACCTTCCTTACTACGGGATATCCCCTCTCAGGTACCATCGCCGCTAAGTTTTGCGCCGCCACAGCTGCGTGTACCCGTGTAAGTTTTGCTCCCACGTGGATGTGTTGAATTGTCACTTTGTCGAAAATGGCACATGGCATGTTGCGGATACGACGCTGCGGATGTCCTCGGAAACGTCTCAGCTTTCGGAGTGACATTGTAAGTTTCTGGCCCCAGCCGCTGGGAGGGAATCATTTTGTTTCCCTATTGTCCGCGTCTACGTACTCGTCGTCGTCGTGTGGCGGAGTCGTTGATAGTTTGCTTGGTGTGCGAATGCTTTGTAAGGCCGTACCTGACGGACCTCAGCCAGGGGATTTACGTCCCGGCACTCGATTAGCAGAGCTCGTGAACAGAGTTCAGCGGGACAAGGGCTCCGGGCTGACAGAGAGATTGAGCAAGGTCAAAGCTCCCTCCAGGGCTACCGTTTGTCTACTGATCACGGGAACGAATGTGATTGCTCATCGCGATGGGCTTAGCCAGAGCCCTATCCGTACGGGTGCGGTGATTAGCTAGCTTACGAGACGGCCGACCCTGGCGATGGGCCTTTCTTTCCCAAGCACATGGGAACTGTCAAAGCTGTCAAAACATGGGTGTTGCTGATGCTCATCACTTGAGACATGGCACTTGCGCTCAATAGTTGCTCTCTTTTCGGGAGATGGGTGGGTTCGGTGTTCGGTTGGTGGGAGAGGAGGCTTGCGGTTCCTGCAGCCTGCACCTTTGACAGGCAGCGCCGAAGGAAAGCCACAAGCCTGGCGCCTGCCCATCCATCTATCCATCGGGTCAGGTCCGGATAGATCACCGGTGACTGGGACCGGCGACCGTTTGCGCTTACGGCGGCGGCCTTGGAGGGAGGGGAGGGGAAGATGGCATATCGAGATCGTGAAGGACGCCGATAATCGACGGCGCACGGTCGTTTGAGGCGTTCCTTGGATCTGCAGATGTCTTTTTGTCTCTGTACGAAGAGGCCGGCCTCTCTCCGCCAGGCACATCAATTCACACACACACAAGCGCGATCTACGCTTCCCGTGGAGAGCGTGGGAACAGATTGGCTGGGTGCCTGAGTCAACGGCAATGGGGTTTCGATAATTGGCGGTGATGACAGTGGGTGGTTCCGGTGGGTGTCGAGGCGGTTGATCGACAGTTCCAAGGCCTTGGAATCGTTGGTTTGAGATTTTTTCTCAGGCTGGGCCTCTTTTTTTTTTTTTTTTTTTTTTTTGGTTCCCTCCTAAATCTTTTGATCAAGATGACTTCATCTCGTTCCAGCTTGTCAGAGAAACATGGAGCCCCCGCCCCATCAAACCACGGTCCACGATGAAAGACGGGACGACGGCAGCTATCAAAAAGACGGTGTCATGAGTCGTGACAGCTTCACGAACGGGTCTGTGCATCGTCATTGATGGGGAGAGAGGTTGAGGTTTGCGGCAGACATTTGCCGGGATTTACAGGCATGGGGTGTGCATCGTCATGGACGACTAGAGCCTCAATGCATCTTGGGTATGAACTTCTCGAATTAAGCGGTAGATAGAAAGGAGAGACACAAAAAAGGGGGATGAGACAGTTCGGGTGAGGCTGAGTTGTTGTCAGACAATGCGGCGAAGCGTAGCCTCGTCCTGCTGCTTGACGTGTGGCAAATTGAGATGTCGTCGTTGCGATGCAGAAAGAAGCAAAAACCTATTCTCCATTTTGCGTCCAGGGGTTTGGGCAGAGCTCCCAGGCAGCTGCTCTTCGCCCTGCCGACCGAAGGACGAGGCTGCGTTGCCCTGGATGAGAAAGACAGGGGACCCGAATTGGGGACATCATTATCTGAGCCAGACTATCGGTTTCACCCGCCAGGCATCTTCCCGTCCTTCAGCTCTGCCTGTTCTTCGTTTTTTTCTTAAATCCTTAGCTATTAAAATCCCTGGCGATAGCTGACTGGGATGGAGACTTGTGGTTGAAGACAGGCAAGGGGACGGGAAGACAGACGTAGCCACAACGAGGTGAGAACGGAGATACGGAAATAGAGAACAGGGACAGGAACAGGAAGAAGAAATAATTCGCCCGACGGCCGTCTTCGGTAAAGATGCTCCGTGGAAATGTTGCAAAGACTTTTTTTTCCCGGCTACACGGAGTTGTGATCGGGATGCGGCACGTCCGCCCAGCGCGCAATGTCCGAATGTTCCCTGAACATCCCCAGTAATTAAGCTACATGCACCGCTCGCGCTATCTTTACGCAGATTCCCAATCCGTACAATGCCGCGAAAAGGTACCGAAAGTGACAGAGCTTTTCTCGGGTTCCCTCTTTTCTTTCGGTTCAAGTTGTTCTCTTGTTACGTCTGCATTCGTATCCCATGATCCCCACCCCCTGGTCTAGTCCAAGTGGACAACAGGGCAAACTGCTCCGTCGCTTCTTAGCACGGACGGCTATTTCTGGGTGAAGTTGACGAAAAAGATTCTTACGAGAAGCGGGCGGGTCCTGGGCACAGCCGGTTGTGGAAGACTCTGGCACATTGGCAGGGAAGCCGTCTCGACACAAGACGAACTCGATGGATCGTGATGGAGCTGCCCAGAGGCCGTCGCAGCCGCGCCAGGCGTTTCGGACGTTGGAGACGCGGAGGTCGTTCGGGGCGGGGAGTGGTTCGCTCAGCTGCGATTGCTGCACACCATCCCTTCCGACGATGGCACTAGTGCACTACGGCAAGCGCGACCTGCCAAGTTGCGCCACGCGCATGAACCCATCACCAGCTGGTTCGTGCGGTGTGGCGGCGAGAAGTGTGTGGGGGGGATGCTGATCGTGATGTCGGCATGCCCATTGGCTTGGGACGGTTGAAGTCATGGAGGCGAATCAAGGAGAGGGGGGCAGGCGCTATTGCTTGCTTTGACAACATCATCACGATCATGGCACGACTTTCGGTAAAGAGTTGTGGATGATAGAGGTTGATTGGGACGGGGTGAATGTACATTGCGCGCGGGGTTCATGTTAGTCCCAGTCGCGAGATATCGGCGCTCAGCTTCCGTCCTTGCATCATCTCCGCCATCACTTTCCCTGTCCCGAGACTGAGGCTGATGCCCCAAGGCCCGTGGCCGGCCGCGAGGAAGACGCCGCCCTCGGCGCCGGGGCGGGTTGATATCCCGTCTCCGAGACGGGAGTCCGGGATGCGGGCCAGGATAGGCTCTCCGGAGGCCGTCACGGGGCGGAAGCAGAGGCCTTTCCTGACGACTTCGAGATCACCTTCTGGTACGTGGATAATGCGCCCCGCCGTTTGTTGAAGCTGGTCTATCGCGGCTGGTGAGATTGGCGTTTGGCCTGGTAAATCTGGAAGGGGCAGCTCTGGAGCGTTGACGCCGGCAATGTAGATATGTCCACCGACGCGAGAAAAGAGCTCTGGCGAGAACCCGGCACCGTCGGTGCTAAAGATGGCGTGGCAGCCTGTTTGCGTTGTGTCGTCGCCTGGAGGTTTGACGACGAGGGAGTGACCTGCCAGGCTGGAGATGGGCAGCTCGATGGACGCGCCGGGGAAGAGCTGCGTAAAGACGCGCGGGGACCAGGCGCCTGCAGCGATCACGAGGCGTGTGCAGGGAACGTCGGTCTCTGTGGAAGAATTCGTGTCACCAATGCAAACTGTCGAGAGCTCGCCGCGGAGATCGGTGTTGATGGAGAGAGCCGTGGCTGGGTGGTGGAGGTGGACGCCCTCTGACTTGCATGTTTCGAGCAGGAAGTTGCAGAGGCGGAGGGGTTCCCTGTTATCGTGTGAGATTTCACATGCGAAAAATGCCGTGGATGAATACGCACACTTGGCCGGTCGTTTCCGAATCTCCAATGACTTGGACCTCGTCGCCGGCGGCGCGACGTAGCCACGAAGGGCCGTCGCCGTGTGTCTCAACGGCTTCGACAACGTCGGCTCGACTGCCCCCTTCACTCAGCCATCTCTCGCCATTCTCGCTCTTCTTGATGGGCGCAGCTGCATGGCTGTACGTCGTACTCGTTGACCAACCCCATTTCTCTTTGCCATTGTTCTCCTCCGCGAGCTTTTTGTGTTCATCGAAGCTTAGAGCTCCCAGTGATGCAGACTTGGCCGAGAACCAGTCGCGCGCAAGGAAGCCCCCGGCATACCCAGATGCAGACGCAAACAGCTCCGGTGATGGCTCAACGAGATGGATAGTCGATCCAGGCTGGTGGTCAGCAAGGTAATGGGCTATCGAAAGGCCGATAATGCCCGAGCCCAGAATAACTGTTGAACTCATTGTGAAAACATGTCACTTTGAGGAGTAATATCGTGAACAATGACGTTATGCTCCAACAGCTCAAGGAGCTTCCCAGACAGCACCGAGCTGGGACCCCGCCATCTTGATAAGATAAGGACTTCTGCGGCAGCTGGCCCCCGCTCCACCACACACACAGAGGCAGGCCGGACCCATTGACTTCGGATGGCGCAAGCCTGCAGCTCCATCTAGAGGTGCAGACTCTTTTTCCCGCGGTTGCGCTGCTTTTTTGGTGTTTGAGAAAGAAACCTGTCTACCACTCACGCGTTACAATGGCTTCCAAAGTGATCATCGTCACCGGCGCCAGCCGCGGCATCGGCCTGGCTATCGCCCAGTATTTGTTGAAGGACTCGCACAAGGTCGTGTTGGCAGCGAGGTCCAAGGACCAGCTGGAGGCTCTCAAGTCCGCGCATCCTGGACAGGTCGAGTATGTTGCGGGAGACTTGGGTGATCTCAAGGTGAGGGCGTCATTTCGCGGCTGCGTGACGTTGGCAGCGAGGGCTGACACCTGCAGAACATCCCCAAGATCGCCGAGGTGGCCGTGAAGGCCTTCGGTAAGATTGATGGCATTGTGATCAACCACGGCGTGTTGGAGCCCGTCTCACGTCTGGAAAACTTCAACGTCGGGGAGTGGAAGCGCGCATACGACATCAACGTCTTCAGTGGCCTGGCATTGGTGAGGAAAACGTTTTGTTCACAACTTGATTACTATCTAACTACTCGAAAAGGTACAAGCCGCTCTGCCTGAGCTGCGCAAGTCGAAGGGTTGCGTCCTTTGGGTTTCCTCCGGAGCAGCAACCGGCGCGTACACTGCCTGGGGCGCCTACGGCACCTCCAAGGCTGCCATGAACCTCCTCTCCGCCCACTTGGCCGTTGAGGAGCCCGACATCACGAGCATCGCCATGAGCCCCGGTCGCGTCGATACCGCCATGCAGAAGGTCATTCGCGACACCGGCAAGGACCATATGGCCGAGAAGGACCACTCGTCCTTCGTCTCCGACTTTGACAAGGGAGGTCTCCTCAAGCCCGAGCAACCCGGCAGCGTGATGGCGCGGTTTGTCGTCAAGCCGGAGCACGCCCTGTCGGGCAAGTACTTCAAGTAGGTCGCGCCATTCCGTCAACATTTGACAGAAGCTAACCCCGTGACAGGTGGCAAGCTGCAGAGCTTTCGGCCTACCAAGGGTAGATAGAAGTGTTCACTAAAAATACAATGTTAGCCAGCTGCTTGAGCTAGTGAGAGCAGAATAGAAAACATTGAATAGATGATGCCTCAGTCGAAAGATGAAAAGCTCATATTTGATTCCACATTGTTTATTCAGGATTAGCATGGAATATGTTTCATCATCATCGGCAAGTTCGCTCCGCGCGAAGCGGAAGTAGAAAGAAAAAAAGTTTGCGCCTACCTTGAACGAAAGAGCTGTGGGCAAGGATCGTGAGCAAGACCACGTTCGCACATCACTGCCTGCGCACCCTGCAACCACATCCACGTCAGCATCGAGTCCACGCATGCTGGCCGTCGAACAAGAGTGCGTCATAAAGCAGGTGCTCAGGGGTTATCGGTTCTCCGTCTTGGAAGGTCGGTATTTGATAGTACTTTGGACATCATCGCAGGCGCGAAGCGGCGCAAAACACGACGTTGCGGCAAGAACGTAGGCGGGCCAGCTTACATTTTCTGTCTGAAGAGATTTCCGTTAGCTTTGGGTCGCGCCAAAAAGGTGGGCAACAAGCAGCAAGAAAGCTCAAGGTGACAAGTCAGAGAAGTCCGTTTGGCAGGACGGTCATTCACCACTGTGTGAGGGGTGTTATTCCTCGTAAGTTTGGGGCGACAACAAAGCTCATCAGGTCGATGGGGGAAAGCGGGAAGGAGGAAAAGGTAAACCTACCAGAGTCAGTCCGAACGAGGCGCAGAGACGCCAGCAGCTCGAGCAATTGAGCGCATGGTGATTTGTTGTCTCTGCTGTTTAGTGATGCAAGAGGAAGGAAAGCTGAAGCTGCCGTCAAAAATCTGACTTTTAAGGGAAGAAAAAATTTGGAGTGATTGGAGAAGGTGGCCCGTGCATGGCGGTACGTCGGAAGCTCCTTTCACCGAGCGCCGCGCCTGACTGGCTGAGCCCATGTGGGCAGGTCCGGGTGGATCCATGGATGGGCACAGAAAGAAGTCGTGCACCACACTCATTGTGGCTCGCGCGCATTGAGTGGACAGCCCAAAAAAAGAGGCAACAGCTGAGGCCTGGGCGCGGGGAGGGTTCAAATGCAGTTGGTGTCCCGCATCCAAATAGCATAAAAGACCCCACCACTAGCAGCCGCCCGAAGAGCGAGCCACACTGTCCCGCGTCTGCTTCACATGTCCGCTCCGCTCCCGTGTTTTTCACCGCCAACCATCTCCGATATAAGTCTATAGACCGGTCTCAGCTCACTGGCACGAACTGCATAGCTAAGTCCTTCAAGGCGACCTACATTGAAACCATCCGGCTGGGATCTAGTCGGTTCCTCACGCTCTCTTCTTTCGAATACGTGACCGCAACATCTCAACCCACATCGCATTCTTCTCTGTTCATCCTGCGCCATGTCCGACCACGATGTCGCCGGTAAGTTGCTCTCAGATTTGTCCAGATATTACATCTTTCATTCGCTTGCCCTTCACCCCCTACGAATGTCCTTATCGGTCATTCGTTGCTGCCGCTCCTCCCTTCCTCGACTGCATCATCGCAATCAGGCTTCCATTCTGTCTGCCCTCATCACAGCTCTCGTATAAGACGCTCATCATGCATATGCACCATGCTGCCTGCGAGCGGCAGTAATGCTCTCTTCATACTATTCAAATGCACTAGGACATTTTCTGGAAAGACCAGGATGGCCTTATGGGTGCCGTTTCTATGCCTTGCTTCCACACAGCCTGATCTCCGAAAGACATAATGCTGACATAGCACCACAGGCAACGATGACTTGTCTCTGCCAAAGGGTAAGCCTCTCATCCCGTCTCCCGCCCTGGCCAACACTAACGACCCGCAGCAACCGTCCAAAAGATCGTAACAGAGATCCTCCCGCCCTCCGTAGGCATCGCCTTCTCAAAGGAAGCGCGCGACCTGCTCATCGAGTGCTGCGTCGAGTTCATCACCCTCATCTCCTCCGAGGCCAACGAAATCTCCGAAAAGGAAGCCAAGAAGACCATCGCCTGCGACCACATCACCAAGGCCCTCGAGCAGCTGGGCTTCTCAGACTACGTTCCCGCCGTACTCGAGGCGGCGGCGGAGCACAAAGAAGTCCAAAAGGTACGTTCCCAATCTTAGCCAGCCCCTCCACCTCCGACCCGTGGCACCAGTTGGGGCTGACACATCTTCTGCAGGGTCGCGAGAAGAAGGCAAACAAGTTCGCCAACAGCCAGCTTTCCCTCGAGGAGCTCGAGAGGATGCAGCGGGAAGCTTTCCAGGATGCCGCCACTAGGCATGCTTAGACGGCACGACGAGCATGGCGTTTGTGAACAGTGGCTTTATTTTTAGTTTCATCTTGTTGCTTTCCTGGGGCATGAACACGGCGTTTGAGGGCTTATCATGGAGGAGACGAATCATGACGAATTCACCGCGCTGACGAAATGCATGATTCCGGCTTTACTTTGGCTGTCGTGAGGAAAGGGCAGCACACATCATCGATAGCATGGCCTTTATTATCGACGAGAGCATCGTTTACCCTCACTCGGGTCATACGCATGAATACAAAGCTGTGGAATGATATTTCCAGTCCGCGTTATACACAACAAACAGCGCTTTTCTCGTTTGCGTCGGCCCGAGGCCGTCCCGTCCTATCTACATTGTGTGTACATGATGTAGATCCTAATGATATCGTAAACATCCCTTCATTAACTGCATCCCAGAAATCAGATAACGCCGCAAGTCCCGTATATACTGAGGAAACCTTGATCCATCGCGAAAGAAAGTTCACCACAGTCGTCGCTGGTAGTAGACCGGCTCCTCGCCCTGCGACAAGCGCTTGATCTCCTCCTTGATCAGCCTCCTCCTCTCTGCTCGGCTGATGGGCTTCTCGGTGGCGGCGTCGGGGTCGGGGTGCTTCTGGTCCTTGACCTTCCACCCCTTGATGTTCCTCTCCCGCTCGTCCATCTTCTCCAGGTCTTCCTTGCTCACGCCGGGCTCGTCCTTCTCAGACGAAGAGACCATCTTCTTCCATAGGTCCGACGTCCAGCCCTGCTGGTTCTGTCCGGCGAGCTTTTTCGGGCGTTGCTGCTGCTGCTGCTCGGGCACCGAGGGGTTCACCTCGATGATGATCTGGTCCTGCTTTCCGCCTTCGTACAGGGCGTTGCCGGGTGTATGTTTGAGGTGCTCGGGCACGGTGTACGAGGTCTTGGGTGACGGTCGCGGGTCATAGTCCGGCTTGATGGCTTCCCGCAGCTGGTTAAGCGTGCGTTGCTGGATCACGTAGCCGCTGAGGAATAGAGCTGCACCACAAGAGAGGACTGTTGGGAAGAGAATGCGTTTGCATATGCGGCAGGGCGCATACGCGTGACGCGTTGAGAGGTTAGCCGTTTGCTCACTCGTGGACGGGACTGGAGTGCGGGAACGGGGCGGGTGTTACCGATGGCGGTGGAGAGGAGGACGGAGACTTGTGACGAAGAGAGGAGCACCATGATTGCTGTGCTTTCTCGATCTTTCTTTTCGGTGACAATAAATTCGATAAAATTGTATAGATAGATGTAGTATGTGAAGATGTTCTGCATGCGTTTCAAACGGCAGATAGAGACGCCATTTGCATCCCCCTGATCCTTTGGCTGCAGTCGCCGCCAGATGTGACGTGGCGGAGGAGTGTGAACTTGGAAGTGGGCTGTTTACTTGGTTCGCGGGGCAACTATCGATAGGCCAGCTGTCAATGGGTGTCATTGGCCGCCAACGTCAGTGTCAACTTTTTTTTCTCACGGCGGATGTCACGCCCAGCGAGCTAGCTTCTGCGTCGCATCGAATCCACCCCACCCGTATCGACCGAGCGTGATCTACTTCACGAGACCAGAGACGCGCAAAGACTCTAGAAAGCTTGGCTTGACGATATCTCGAGCACAGTAGCTATCGCCCACCGAAAGACGCGCCTTCCAATCGGGTCGACCATTGGACCTTCCCAACAAACTCCTCTGCTGTATCGACCTGTCCTTCCACCCTCTCGATCGCCGCGACGATGAGCAAACCCGACACGATCTACGCCGACGAGCGGCGCTTTCTCGACGAGCGCGGCTCCTCCGCCTCCCTGGCCCCCAATGGCGAGAACCCGGCGACGATCATGGAGAAGGCCGTCCGCGAGCGCATCATCGACGCCTACTTCTACAAAGAGCAGTGCTTCGCCGTCAACGAGGCCGACATCGTCGACCGCGTCGTCGAGCACGTTACATTCATCGGCGGTACTTACGGCGTAACTCAGAAGCCGACGCCGTTCCTGTGTTTGGCGTTCAAGCTGCTGCAGCTTGCGCCGTCGGACGAGATCCTCGAGACGTACCTGGGCTTCGGCGGCGAGAAGTTCAAGTACCTGCGCGCGCTGGCCGTGTTCTACATCCGGATGACGAGGAAGGCGAAGGATGTTTACCTGCTGCTGGAGCCGTTTCTGGAAGATCGGAGGAAGTTGAGAAGAAAGGGACGCGCTGGGACGAGTCTGACGTATATGGACGAGTTCGTGGACGATTTGTTGACAAAGTCGAGAGTTTGCGCGACGAGTTTCAGGGAATTGCCCAAGAGGGTTGATTTGGTGGACTTGGGAGAGTTGGAGGAGAGGATCAGTCCGCTTGGTGATATTGATGAGTTGTTGGAGGAGGCGGAGGAAGAGGAGAGAAGGGAGGCAAGCGAAGGCAGTCCAAGGGAGAATGGTGCTGATGACTCTGAGGGAGAGGTAGTTGAAGATAGGAGAGGCAGCGGTGAACCGATGGACGTGGAAAGGAGATCACGGTCAAGAAGCAGAGATCGGTCTCCTTAGGTGGAAAAAGTTACGAAATGATACCCAGTCCTCTAGCGAAAGGAGTTACCAAATGCTTCAATTACGAGAATGCTGGAACATTACAATCGTGATATCGTGGGTATATTCTTTTCTATTGTACCAACATAATCGGCTTCTTCCACAGCACAAATGCTGCAGTTGCTGTTCAAGTCTATACTTAAGCAGAAAGCTGACGTAGAAGGGTTTTGGCTACACCGAGGAGACGTTTGTCGTCCCAGTATTGGCCTATCAGTTGCAGACCAGCCACCTTGCGGCTATCGTCTGCATTGGCTTCTGGCGATTCGACCTTGGTCGGAATGCTGATAGCCGGCAAGCCAGCCAAGCTCGCAGGTACCGTGAAGACATCATTCATGTAGACTTGCACCGGCGTCTGCTGCTTAATCTCCTCAATCCTGGGCGCGAATGTCGGTGCCGTGGGACACAGCAAGAAGTCCACCTGCGATGGGCCAAGCTTGTCCTGCAGCTCAACTTCATCCTTCATATCGCTCAGATCAAACTGTTGCGGGTCGTAGAGGGGGTTCTCTAGCCGGAATACACGGTCAAAGTCCCTCTGCACAAGCTTCCTTACGCGCTGTGCTTGGATGAAGTAATTATCCATGGCCTCGGAGCTCAAGCTGTAGGCACCCAGGAGGATGCGCCGCTTGACCTCGTCGCCAAAGCCGAGACCGCGGGTCTTGGAGTAGAGGACCTCGCCAGCGCCGTCACTCTCGTCACCGCGAGTACCGTAGCGGACGCCGTCGTACTTGGCGAGGTTGGACGACGCTTCTGCAGGGGCGATGACGTAGTACGCTGAAAGGGCGTGTTTAGTCGACGGCAAGGAGACAGGGACGATGTCAACGCCAGACTTTTGAAGGAGGCTTGCCGCATTTGTCCAAGCTGCTCGAATTTGGGGATCGAGTTCCTCGATGTTGTACTCGAGAGGAATGCCAATTCTTAGACGTGAGCGGTGATCCGCCTCCTGCTCTTGTTGGCGCTTGCGGAAGCTCTTAGATATAGACGTGGGATCTTGGGCATCGTGCTCGGCATCTAGGCCAGTGCTGAACATGATATCCTCAATAATGCCCACCTCCCGCGCAAGCAGACCGACGGTATCCAGCGAGTTGGCGTATGGCACCACACCCCATCGCGAAAGCATGCCGTATGACGGTTTGTATCCCACAACTCCACAGTATGCCGCTGGGAGACGAATCGAGCCACCCGTATCTGTACCCAAAGCCACATCCGCATCGCCCGTCTGAACCGCAACCGCACTTCCTCCAGAGCTTCCGCCAGCTGAGGTGGGCGTCGAAGATAACGGGTTTAGCACGGGTCCATGTATCGAGTTCAGAGAGTGCGATCCCATTCCGAACTCATCCATGTTCGTCTTTCCAACTACATGTGCGCCTCGTTCGCGGAGCTGGCGCACGATGGTGGCCTCGTAAGGACTCTTGTGGGAGGAGAGGATGGCGGAGGAGCATGTCGTCGGCAGGTCCTGCGTAGCGATGTTGTCCTTCACAGCCAGCTTGAAGCTCTTCGTCGAGCCGGCTGTTGGAGGGGCAATTGATGCCGCCTCTACGGACTCTGCGATCAGTTAGCCGTGCCCCGCGCAAGTAGGGTGATCAGTCTCCCGTACCCGTCCGCACGAAGTGGTTGAAATCATGGTGCAGTCGCCTTTGAAGGAAGGCTGTCTGCCCAATGCCTGTCGAGTGCAGTGCCCGTGGGCGTAGGCGTGAGAGTTTGACATGAGAGGACATGGGGCCGCGAATGCCAGCCTGTGGAGGTGGTGCTTGGAGCTTCGGGGTTGGGTGACGAGCTTCCACCGCAGATGGCCGATGATTTCGGTGGATGACTAATCATGCATTTCGGCCCCACATCAGAACCCCGATGCCCCGGTATTCAGTCTTGAGCACGACTATCTCGTTACCGGAATCACCTGGAGTACGAGCCACCTGCCTTTGTCATACCCTTACTCCACGTACAGTAGTCGTATGATACGGAGATGATGCTTTTCACACAAGCAACGCGTTTCTTCGTACAGCTGGCGCCCTCAGCTAGCAATCGTCACAACGTCTTGAGAATCATTACTTATTCACTACGATCATCTAGGAAAGCAATGGCATCTGTGAGATATTCTATTGCATCGACATTCAAGATTCAAACAGAATACTATATGTGAAGTTATACGAAAATCATCCTTCCATGGAGCCAATTTGCCAGTGCTAGTGTCCCATAGTTCTATTAGGACTTGCTGTCATAGCCATAAATAGCTTTTGTTGACGGGGCACTTCTTTTCCGCACACCACGTTAAATGCCTCTGGCTCTCGTCTCTCTGCCACGAAGTCTGGTCCAAATGTTTCGCCCACCACCAAGCGTCAGAAGGTAGACGTGGATAGATTGCTTCCGCGCCATAATGCCGCCCCAAGTCCTCGGCAAGAAAGTTTTTTGCTTGAATGAAGATCCTGCGACCTTCAGTCGTCCACTCATACTCTACCAAACACTCTCGGCATCTGATTCCGTGAAGTCCAGGAGCATTTCTATTCCTGATTCCTCCCAAAAATCTTCCCATCTTACGCGAGGTAGGTTTCATGGAGCACGCGCAACATTCAAACGCGGCGTCATTGAGATGGTGTTTGTAGCACCGGCTTTCACTATTGACCTCTCGGAAACAGACACACCGATCAGCACTGACGGCTTCCATCATGTCCTCGAATGACATATGTCCACACATCAGATCCGGATGTGCTTGGTCCAGTTGTCGCAGAGCCTGTCGCAATGCATCTTTGGTAACGAATCGTCCTCTTTCGACAACACAAACTTGAACCTTCCATGTCAAGATTAAGAAATTATCCTCAGAATTCGACGTATGCCGTATAGCTGGAGATTCCCCTATTCCCCGAAAGGCCGCCCTGCAGCTAGTGCAGTCTAGGACGACGGTTTCTCTACCCCGTCTTCTTGGCGAGTTAAACAAGTAGATAAGAGTAGACCACGCCAGACTTTGGTGAGGGCATATCTTCACTCTGCCTTCCCAAGCGATACACCGACGTGGGCTTCCAGGATCTTGTCCTGTTGGAAATGAGTACGCGGCATGCTTGTAGTTGCAAGCGCTACAGTAGATCGTTGGCTGTTCGTGATACCTTTCTTTAAGCTCCATGAATTCGCAATTTGCTGGCCAGTTTGAACGGCATCCACTACAAAGCAAGTCTTTCTGGAGAAGCCTCCTTACTTGCAACTGTCCGGATTTTCCGATACTTTCACGCCTAAACGCCAGTAAGGGATTGCAGGACGTTGGCACGGAGACGGGCGATCGTCTTGATATGACCGATACCCATCGTCGCAGTCGTGAGATCGATCGAGGCTGTTGTTCTGTTTTCGAGTCGTGAAGGTTGGAGAAGCTACCGTGAGAGAAAGCCCCATGAAACAGGACGCAAACTTGTCGAAAGATAAAAGCGTCTTCAGGATCCAGCCAATCCATGATCTCTAACAACAGCTCCCTGGGAATACGATAGATGGGACTTCGGAGGGCATTTTGCTCTCTTTTGCCTACCCAAGCCACGCTTGGCCCGGTCACAAGGTCCCAATAAGAACTCATACAGAATCGTGATACTTCTTGCATTCCGCCGAAATAGTTGAACTGTGACGTGTGGCGGGGATATAGGATTATCTTTGGCTGATCAGTCGTAGTAAACGTGGATGGCGGGAGGTATTTCCGAGGGGTGGGGGATGCGACAGAAGAATGAGATAAGTGTAGAAAAGAAAGAAAAAACGATCTAAAACTCTCAAACCTTATAACTTACCCTGTGCCACGGTTGGATGCTCAAGTTTTCCATGGAAAACATACCTTGATGGACTCAACCACAAAACTGTCTTGCTATTCTCTCCGCAACTCATCGTCAGCACATGTTTTATCTCCTCAAAGGTCGGCTGATATCATTCAAAAGTGACTTTTCGACAACGTTCATTGGTGAGGTATCTCTCGAATTCCAAATTCGTTTGAACATCTTGTCACCGTCGTTTTCGCTGATGAATTTACAGGCGAGAAAAGGTTTTGGTATCTATCCTTCTATTTAATGCCTCTAAAGGAATTTGGTATACGAAACGATTTACACGCTTCATTTCTATGTCACGGGTTGAAAGACTCATACTAATGGTGGGGTGGCTCCGAAGGTTGACTGAATGATGGGTTTTGACTCCTGTCAGTCTCTCCTTTGCGGGCTTCTTCCATGGCAACGCCCTCGTAACAAGAAACATTTGCCGCCGACTTTCCTTTGCCGAACACCAGTCCGGGATGTCCGATGTTCAAGCAAAACACGGCAATGACCATCACCCTGAGTGATATTAGCAGTCGCGCAGTCAAGGCCAAGGATGTACACTTACGCTGACTCCAATGCAATGAACAACGCTTCATCTCGGAACCAGTGACTGAAGTAACCCTCATGCAGCTCTACAATACGGTAGACACATCGAAGCAAAATGAAGAATGTGCTGAGACCCAAGAAAAGCAGGAATAACTTGAGCTTTCCGTTCATCTTGGACCGGCCGATCGAGCGGTTGTATCTGACCATGTAGTCCATGAAGAGGATGACAAATACCACAAGCGAGAAGACCTGGAAGACGAGGCCGGCCAAGGATATGTTCACACCTCGGTCGACAGCCTCCTTGGTGGTGCTGACGGAGGATGACCCGCCGCCAACAGCCTGAAGGATCAGGGAGACAACATCGGCGGGGATGAAGATCCAGTAGAAAAGCTTCGGCTTGACCCGGGATAGCGAGGGATCGAGGTGGTTGATGCTATTTCATGCAACTGGTTAGCGGAGGGGCCAGGCTCACTCATGCAGCTCAGGAACATTTACGTTTGGGAGAGCAGAACATAAATCGCGGCGGAGAAGAAGACGGGCGCGACCGTGATGCAGACTGTAGTGACGTGGCGTCAGCATGTAATCCTGTATGAGACAGATGTGCGTGAACACTGACCGATTTGCATGAGAAATCCTTCAAAGTTGAATGGATTGTCGTAGATCAGAAGTCGTCCGATGTAGCCGACTATTTCCAAAATGCAGCCACTTATCATGCTTCCCATGAAACCCCATGTCCTCGACCTGATTCCCTGAATGGCATGGCCTACCAACGCAATAGCAAACAGCGAGATGAAAATGGCGCTGGCGGGTACTGAGGGTCGATATTGCAGGATGCTCCATTCGATTGGGCAGAGCTCGAGTGTGCAGTTGGCATTCGGCCCAAAGGCGATCAAACCGTCAGGTAATCTCGACATTTTTGTACGGTCAGGTTCTCTCGAAATGTCTGAACGTGTAGTGACGGCATCATCATAAAGCTACGGGCCAGGGCTGGGAAGTCTTCTTATAAAATGTCAGGCTAGTCAAGGGATATTCTGTGCGGAAAAAAGTAGACCACAGGAGTCGAGTGCCCGGTCGTCCGCAGGAATCGGCCAGAATGGGGTTCCGACAACGTCTGCACGTATTAGCAAAAAGTGGCTTAGACATCCTCCGACGTGGCCCACTATCTAGCCGCTTCCCACCAGACGCACGAGAGATCTAATCTAGCCGAATAATACGCTCCCTTCATTGGGCCAGACGGAGTTCACAGGGTGCTAAGCGTGGCATGTTTTCTCACCCTGGAGCCGCCATACGGAAGGCTCGGTGCCTAAATGACGTTTAGATAAGATCACAAAAGAACCGCTGCCACGCCTTTCGAAAGTATACGATGTTCGCACCGCCCGATTCACGAACGGACGGGCCTCCCGACGCGCAAGTCGGTCTCCCCAACGCCCGCCCTGAAAATTTGCTCATGAACCTGATCATTGGTCCTGTTTGCAGGATAAGCGGAACAACTTTCCACGACAACGAATGCCAATGACGGTTGACGCGACCTCGTGGCTGCCCTGGCTTTAGCGACCGGGGGTAGCACCAAGCTGACGTCTAAGGTCTTGGATGATCATTCCCGAAATGGAAATATTGTCGCGACGCTAGCGCCGTGTGGGTCTTCCGCCGGGTGGAGCTCCCGAATCCCGTTTCCCAGCGGAGGGGCTTTGGCTCGCTAGGCGTATTCAACGGCCCGCTCGAGGACATTCTTCCAGCCGAGTGCGATGTATCTTGAATGATTAAATCAGAATACAGAGGCTTAGACTTGATTTGGCGCTAGAAATGTGCCACAAGCGGGTAAAATGTCGCGATGGACTGGGCCTGGCTTGCTCCCTCTTCCGTGGCTGAACGCAAGCGAGGCCAGTGACTGTGAATCGGTAGAAAACATGTCGAGGGCATCCTTATGCTAAATGCCAGGAATTTTGACGCGCAATAAGCTTTGACAAGGCAGCCAGCAAGGCTCTAGGACTCCAGGAATGTTGTAGAGGAATGCCCACTTGAAGATTGGCGTTCGTAACACGGCGAAGCCATGAACTTCGCTTCGTATGTCTCATGAGTGACGAAGAAATTTGCTACTGCTTGGAAAGTCAACGTATTCGCAAATGTGATGGCTGATGGCCGGTCCGGAGATAAAGATTTACTTTTCGAAATAGGTCATTTGTTTTGCTATCAAAAGTCGAACCCTTTTTTCTTTTCCTTTGCTTCCTAGTTGGACAAAAGCTTCTCGTAACACAAAGTAAAATTCGGTTGAGATTAAAGAGGAAGCCGCGTTGAGAGTCACCCTATTTGATGCCAAGATTAGATCAATTGGTACATGATATTTGTTTGTGATTCGCAGGCTAGCGAAAAAAGACAGACAAATCATGGTTATTGAAAGAGAAGGTTGCTGCCAATGAGTTGCTCTTTTTCAAAAGGAAAATATCTAATCCTTGTAGTAGTTAACTCAGGGTGGACAGCCCGACCGACAGCCCGTCTACCGACTGCTCGCTCCAATCAGCTGATAACTCCGCTGCATTGCCAAGCGTAGATGCTGATTCTTTTGGCTCCCATCGGACAAGAAGATGTTGCTTGTACTCATCCGCCGCATCAAAACCTCTACTCTTAACGAGATCAAGAAATTTGAGCACTCGTTGCCTCTCCAGCTCTGTCTCCATTTCCCGCCCAACAAAGTCGGCGAAAGGTAGGTATAGGGCAAGATCAAGACCCAGTTGGCTGATCAGCATTTCTACATGTCCGAGAGCAGCCAAGGCTTGCTGATGAAGTGCTTCGGCGGGCATGACAGGCAGGTCGCACATTAGCGACTTCCATGCATTCTGTTGGAACATGTGAGATAGTCCGGTGAGAGCCCAGTGGTAATATGGGCTGATACTGGCAGATGCCTGATCATGTGGGTTCGCAGACAGCTGCATGAGATTTCCGATCATGCGGGACTGTAAGGCCGACACTTCACATACAATGTTCAGACCTTGGACTTTCAAGTCAATAGACTCCTTCGATACCTCGTCCCCTTCCTTGAAAGAAAGACGCTGCTCCTCAGTTTTAGATACCCATGCCAGAGCCCTAATCACATTAGCAAGATGACCAGAGCGGTAATGAGATTGACAACCAACCTTGGCTGTAGATCTGCCCACTGCCACATGGCAGAGAGCATGGCGTCTACCTTTCTGGAGTCCGGTGATGGTACTGAGCCTCCCGCAGCTTCGATGGTAAGGGGCAGAGCAGGCCATGGTTCTGGAGCAACCTGTTTCTCAACGGGCCGATCGTTCTTCGCAATGCTCGAGAGGATGTCGAGAAATTTGAAAAGCCGGACTAGATCCTTCTCAAACGGGGTCCATGTTGAGACCGCTCGCCGTTTACTGTACGTGTCGAGAAATTTTGAGATCTTTCTGAGCCACATCTCAAATGTGCCAGGTGCCTCGCATATCATGAGCTTTGGCAAGTTAGCTTTCCAAAAGACGTAAATCTGTTACTAGTGGACTTACCTCAACCGCCGCAAGCAGGAGAGCACTCATCAAGATCGCAGTGAACTTTGTAATTTCCGGTTTCTTCAGTTCCGCGTCAATGATTGACTTTTGCCGCACCCACGTCTCCATAACATTTCGTCTCTCTTTGGCGTTGATGCGCAGAATTTGAGGGTTTCGACAGGCATATAACGCCCCAACGATGGATAAGGTACGGCTGACGTTCTCATCTTGATGAGACATGGCCGTCACGGCAGCACTCCTCAGCACGGACGCTTGAGTGAGAGAACCCATGGCCTGGAAGTAGGTGCTTATGTAGCGCCATGAGTCCTGGACCAATACTCTGGGGACCCGTGAGAGTTCACGCTGATTCACGAAATGGAAGCTCGACGATGCTATCGAGGCCGCGCACTCGATGCCTCGGGTGACGCAACTTGAACACGGATGTGCTCCATTGCACTGGGAGTGTTAGCATCCTCTCGACCTCCGATCAATCAAAATACTCGATCGGCAGCTAACCTTGATATGCGACTTCTTACAAGGGGCGCAACGGTGCCCGACGCGTCGCCGGTCAAGCTGCCCGCATGGCATCGGATCGGTCTAGTGGGGTCAGGAACCGGGACTCGGCAAGATCGGAATATGGCATGACCACCGGACACGGAGTCCGGTCTCCGGAGATGCGATTGTCTGAGAGTTTCCGATAGCAACAGGCTGCAGGCAGTGGTTTGAACGAGAAACGTAATCACGGCTGGGCTATCCGCGGATACCGGAGGACATAAGGTCCGCTGTGTGGCGCAGGCATGATTACCTGAGACCGTTTAGTGGGCGTTAAAGAGGCTCGGTAGCGCTTCGTCTTCGCTGGATCAGGATGAGTAATTCAGTCCGGGTGCTTCCACAATTTATTCCAAGGATTTATCATTAATTCTCCTTCAAGTTGTCTGTAACTATCAATTCGGGCCTCTATAAAAAGAATAGAGTTATTAGGAGCCCAGGTCATTACGTTTTTACTTTTGCAGTCAAGTTGGGCGCTGGGAGATTGTCATCTAATGCTGATTGCAGCTGGTGCCAGCTGCACAGCAGAAAGCGTCGCAATTCTCGCTCTGTGAAGTGTGCAGAGAATGATATTGGAAGAAAGCCTTACACCTGCCTACTCCAATGACCAGCGAAGATAAGCTTTCGCGAAGCAGCAACGTGTCTTACTAAATCTCTTCGAATATGCCCTACTAATCAACATACGTATTTACACATTTGCACTCAGCATTCACGGCTCTTGGGTATGGAGCGTTCAATTAAACCGGACCACCGTGCCGTGCGGCCTAGAAAATGTTCTAGGCGCGAAACCCCCTACAGCGCATCTCGGGCGGAAGTACTGTGCAGGAACGAATGCTGTTCATAGCCATTGTTGCTCTAGTTGTGCTGTGCCGCATGCGGGTAAGATTGGAAGTTCAGCCTCTTTCGTCAACCAATTCGTCGATACCGCCAGGATTCAGGGGGCCAGCCTTTGGCGGCCAGAAGCCTGGCCCCCGTGGTCTTGAAATCGCTCATAGTAAAGTGATCTGCATCGCAGTACTTCAAGGGACGATCTGGGGCCGAATCCAGAAGTAAGTCGCACAGTCTTGAATGTCGTTTGGCTCCTTAGCTATGGTGCAGAATTCGCATGGTTCTTATGTTGGCTTCACTGAAGGATTCCGCCCGTCTGGACGGACTCATCTGCCAAGCCAGTTGGTGCATTGAGCAGTTCAGTTTGCGCAGCCCGGCCCCACTTGACCCTGGTGTGAGACCCTATGCGCCAAGAAGGCGAGACAGATGCAGGAGGACGCTAGCCAGGAGAGAGAAATGACATAAAGGGGCAACGAATCAACCAACGGTTGAGTGAACATTTCTTCTCCAGAGGCTTCTAAGGCTGAAATGAAAAAGCGAAGATATCTCAGCTGTGTCACCGCCTCTTCAAGACGATCCCGAGACTCTCGGAAGAGCGAAACCAACTCCTTCCAGAGTTTCAATACCAAAGTTCCAATACAACGTCTCGCTAGAGCTCTGCATGCGGGACAGCGCATTGCGCAGCAGCAATGACCACTCTTAAAAAGCCAGCCCGCTGACATAAACAAGGACTCCATGTCTTTGGGATTCTGGACTTCACGATCGGCCGCCTGTGCTGGCGGAGACGAACGCCTGGAGGCCCTGCGAATCGACTTGTTTGCTCCAACAAACAAGCAGCCAACCCCTGTCGAACCCCGAAGGCCTCGTTTTCGGCCAGCCCAGCAATCCCTGCAGGTGAACCATCGGCGATTTGTTGGTCATGTCTTGCAGCCCCTGATGACTGCTTCAGCTGTGCCTTTGGCGTGCGCCCGGAGTTGGCGCCCGCGAAATGATTTTCGTGCTTTGGTTTACCGCAGTATGTAGGATTTTCTGATAGAACCCCCGTAACCGAATCCTTCACATTGTACTCTGTATCCGTAATGTCGCCTACGTTGGAACTGTGTTCTAACATGACATGATCAGGAACAAACGCAATCAAAAACCTTCACGGTGAGGATCGCCGTCGCCGATATTGTGAAATATTGGATGAATCTCCAGCCCCATAGGGGCGTCGCCATCAGCCCCGTTGTTTTAACCTCTGGACCACGAACGAGGCCATGGCTTTCATCTCTCGTAGATGGCGCGTGGAGGACTCCGCGCGCGGTGTCACAGGGGGCAGCCAGTCCGTCTCGCTTGAGCATCGGGCTGTTTGACTTGCCCGTTGGTGTTGCGGTAGGCGCATCTCGGTGGGAAGAGGCGGCGAAGTGCCGGACGGCTCGGGCGCTGCAAGCGTAGCATTAAGCTAGTTAATAAGGACCTAGAAGTGGGCGTTTTCCGAGTCATGCTCAACTCGATTGGCTGGATTGAGGCTCACCAAATTGACCAAGAACAACTTGAAAAGTCTAACCGGCGGAGACCAGAAAAACGTCGCACAACGACATGCCATCACCTGGGTTTCTTTTAAAGAAGAGACCCGCCTTGATCTGGCATTGAGGGTCTTGGCAACTTCGTGCGGAGGAATAGTCCGTCTGTTCTGCGCCCGTCGACGCACCACGAGCTGCCAAGGTCGACATCGTCACCAACAGAAGGGACAATTTCTGCTCTCCGTCCCCTCTCAGTCTCCCCCAAGGTGCATGGGCCAGCTATTCTCGGCGCTTGCATCTTATCTCCTGCACATGCAGCGAGACAATGTGACATGGATGTTTTGACCTTTCCATTTCCCAGCCAGCTGGGCAACTCTGCAGATGCCAAGCTGAGCTAGCCAGGCTTCTTTGCTTTTCCGCCGCCAGGCACAGCAGGCTGGATACGCCTCGCGAGGGTTTCTGGGCATGACTCGGCCTTGTTTTGTCACTTGGGACTCCAATCCTTGGCTGTGAATCTTGGCAATTAAAACGGGATGAACGTGATGGAGGCGCTAACCTTCACTTTCACGCATCAGGGGGCCATGCAGACTTGGCAAAGTCGATGGGATATATGGGAGCACGCATGCCGCGACGTCCAGATTGGGATTTCCTCTTGTTCTTTACTAGTCAACTGTCAGTCGCTGTGTTGTTTGGCAGAGTCATTCGTTATCTCAACCAAGTCATTCTTTATAATATCTAAATAGTCGTTCTTTTTTACCAACCATGCATTACAAGACTGTTGCTGCCACTCTCCTCGTGGCCGGAGCCACTGCCTCCCCCTTCCGCCGTCAGACTTCGAACGAGACCTTCTGCGAGGAGGACGCCCCCGAGACGCAGCCTACCACCTCTGTTCACTTCCCCAGTGCTCCTTTCCCCGTGAACACCACCGTTCCTGGAGTCCCTTCTCGCCCTGGCACTGGCGGCAACCCTGGATCTTACCCCGGAAAGCCCGTCAACCCGGGCAACGAGACTCCTTCCTACCCGGTTGTGCCTACCAACGCCGGCGAGACACCCTCTTCTCCCAGCAAGGCCTCTACCGGCGGTGAGTCTTCCAACACCGGCTCTGGCTCTGGCTCTGGCAACTCTGAAAACAACGGCACTCCCTCCAAGGGCGGTGACTACCCCGTCAAGGGCAACGACACTCCCAGCAAGGGTGGAAACGCTTCTCCCTCTTACCCCGAGCAGCCCTCCGCTCCCGGTGTTTCTACTCCCTCCACCCCCGGCGGCACCGGCAACACTCCCTCTTACCCTTCCTACCCCTCTTACCCCGGCAAGCCTTCCAACCCCGGTGGCAACGGCGGCAACGTCCCTTCGTACCCGAGCAAGGCTGCTGAGGCGGCGTCTTCTGCTCCGTACATCCCCTTCCCCATGAACACTTCCACCCCCTCTGTTGCTCCGTCTTTCACCACCGTCCCCGGTGTTGCTCTTCCCACTGAGCCCATTGCCAGCGCCACCCTCCCCGTTGCGAGCAACAACGCTTCCGCCCCTATTCCCAGCTCTACTGCTCCCGCAACCACCATCCCCTACGGTGTTGCCATCACCAAGTGCACCGTTCCTGGTGACTTCGCTCTCACTTTCGACGATGGCCCGTTCACTTACACCAACCACGTCCTCGACCTTCTCGCTGAGGCTGGTGCCAAGGCCACCTTCTTCGTCAACGGCGAGAACTTCGGTAACATCAACGATGAGCAGGATGTCGTCAAGCGTATGATCGCCGACGGCCACCAGATTGGCTCTCACACTTACAGCCACCCTGACCTCGCCACCCTTGGCGATGCCGACATCATCCCTGAGATGACCACCCTCGAGGACGCTCTGATCAACATCATCGGAAAGTACCCCACGTACATGCGCCCTCCTTACTTCAGCTGGAACGACAACACCCTGTCTATCCTCAAGGCCCTTGAGTACCACGTCATCCACGCCGATGTCGACTCCCTCGACTACGCCAACAACGCCCCTCTCGGCAACCTCACCAGTGTTGGCATCTTCGAGGAGGGCCTCAAGAAGGGTGGCTCTATTGCCCTGGCCCACGAGGTAAGCATACTCACACACCACTCATCAACTTTCATCACTAACATCCAAATAGGTTCACCAGAACACCGCTGAGTACCTCGTCCCCGAGTTCCTGCGCATCATCAAGGAGAACAACCTGAACGCCGTCACCGTCGGTGAGTGCCTTGGTGACCCTGAGGCCAACTGGTACAAGACCAAGCGCACCTCCACCCCTACTGCCACCGCTTCCAAGATCGTCGTCTCCATCACCAGCACTGCTACCCCCACCGGTGTCATTGGCCCCGACGGCGCTTGCGGTGGCACTGAGGGCTACGTCTGCGAGGCTGGTGCCTGCTGCTCCGAGTACGGCTTCTGCGGTTCTTCCCAGGCTTACTGCGGAACCGGCTGCCAGCCCCTCTTCGGTGTCTGCGGTGCCGCTGCCCCTGCTCCCTCCGGCTCCGTCACCACCACTGCCAGCGCTCCCGCCGCTACCCAGACCGGAACTGGTGGCGTCAGCCCTGACAGCTCCTGCGGTGGTGCCAACGCCTACACCTGCCCCGAGAGCACTTGCTGCTCTGAGTACGGCTTCTGCGGCACCACTACTGCTCACTGCGGTACTGGCTGCCAGCCCCTTTTCGGCACTTGCTCCTAAGTGGCTGAGACTGGAGAGTTTGCGGTTGTACCGTTCATGACGCCAGGGTGACATGGCTTGGGTTTAAAATTTCCTATATATATCCTGTAGAGTGTGTATAGAGTTAATAGAGTGTACTTACTTCACCAGTGATATAGCCTCCCAGCCAATCCAAGTCTATACCTCAAACGACCTGTTGAGTTGTAGTGAATGCTACTGTGAAATGTGACCTGAAACAGCCGAGCAACATGCTTGCGAAGAAGCCTGTATAACGTATGATGGAATTGTTAAAGAAGGTGTGGGCTGTTCAACTGTGAATAGGATCCAGGTGCTTCGACAAAAGTACACATGAGCTTGTGCTGGAGTTCGCTCTCATGGGCGAAAGGGCCAGGCTCAAGACGCCGACAGATTGTTCGTTCATGGACCTGGTCGTGGACGTTCATTGTCCATGCTGCCCAGCCATGCCAAGTTCCCCAAGCCACGGCCGTGGATGTCGGGCAGCTTCGTTAAACCCCGCATTTAGGCGAAAGTTGCCTTGGCCACCGATCGGGACCATCCGATTACCGCACTACTCCAAATGGTCTGGATGCCGCTATCCGTAGAAGACTGAGAAAAGAGGAATGCCGGTGGGATCATCATTATCAGGGTCTCACGGGAAAAGACCGGGCAAATGGAGCATCTCCTCAATCCTAATACGGATTTGTCAACGGACATCGGGCTGGCTTCTGCGCTTGATATATACCGAACCTCCTGAATTCCACCACTCAGCAATCACTATTCATCGCGTGCGTCAATTGGCATGCAAAACCGTACGCCCATGTTATCCCATAGTCCAAGACATCACTACAACCCTTCGCGAAAAACAACGACGAGACTTCGTTCCTCTCGTATGGAGATCTCCCGAAGTGATTGGACGGCGCGATGTTGAATTGACGATCACCGAGAACAACTAGATAAATATGAGTTCTCTCTGGCCAAGAATTGATTTTCATAGTATATGCCATTATCTTGACACCTTCAGAAATGTCTCAGCTTCTCAAACTTCCTTTCCTTACGTGTCTCCTATGGGGCTTACTGGCTGTGGCAGACCTGACCACGCATGACGTCGGCCCTCGAGCTATTTACACCTGCACAGTTCCCGCGAATAATAATGGCACCGACGATTCGCCAGCCATTTTAGCGGCATTCACGGAATGCCGCAAGGGTCGTCGGATCGTGTTTTCGAATACGACATATCACGTCAATCAAATGATGACAACCACGGACTTGGAAGATGCCCAGATTGAGATACACGGCACTTTGCTGGTAGAGTCTCCCACATCTTCTCATCTCCATAGTCTTTGTGCAGCTGACAAGCAGCTGAAAGTGGAGCAACGACACCGACTACTGGTTGAGCCACCCTCAACCGACTGGTTTCCAGAATGGCTCCGCAGCTTGGTTCCTAGGCGGCAAGAATGTCACCGTAGATGGTTTCGGCTATGGAACTTTGGACGGCAATGGCCAAGTCTGGCAAGTGGTTTGGCTGCAGCTAGATTGACTGCAATGAGTCTAATGAGTGTTCTAGGTACAACTTAGTTAAAGGCCAGTCAAACTACCCAGATCGTCCTCACGCTTTGGCCATTTGGAAAGCCACGGACATGACGGTTCGCAACCTTCGGATGGTTCAAAGTCAAATGTGGACTATGACGATCATGTGGTCGAAGAACGTCCTCTTTGACGGTATCTACATCAACAGTACCTCGAGCAATGGGAACCCTGCCAGGAACACTGACGGCGCAGACACCATCAACTCGGATCACATCACGTTTCGCAACATGTACATTCGCAATGGTGACGATGCTATTGCCCTGAAGGGTAATTCCACCAACATCTTGATCGAGGATTCGACCCTTGACCGCTCCCTTGGAATCGCATTTGGAAGTCTTGGGCAGTACAAGGGTGTATTCGAAAGAGTTGAGAATGTTACCGTCCGTCGAATCAAAGGGTTAAAGACTCGATATGGTGCCTATGTCAAGACTTGGACCGGCGATCAGGTGTCGTACCCACCTAACGGCGGCGGCGGAGGTATCGGGTGTAAGTCTTTTCACTCCTTCAAAGTAGGTCGGGGACTGACATGAATCTTCAACAGACCTTCGAAATGCAAGTGAGTGTTCAAACTTCCGTATGATTGAGGCTTGAGATGCTGATATCTCTATAGCATTAAGTGACTTCAACTTGACTCAGATACAGCAAGTGCCATTTGTCATCGGCCAATGCACAAGCTACAGCGGTGAAAAAGGAGACTGTGAGAGCAGCACGTTCAAGATATCCAATATGACGATTCGCGGCTGGGTCGGAGATGGAGCATCAAGTTACGTCGCAGATATGGATTGCAGCAAAGCGGCTGGGGGCTGTGATAATATCACCATCGAAAATGTCGGCTTGACCAACACCACCACGGGCGATGCCGTTGCGAAATATCGATGTAGAGACGTCACCTCAGTACAAGGTTTCACTTGCACCTGAGCTCGCAACAATAATATGTACATATTAGTCATCCCCACCAACAACTTCTCCTTGAGAACTTTTCTGCCCATTCCTGCTAGCCGGCCTTGATTCAATACCTATCATGTCCTCTGCTCCTGATTATCGTAGTCATAATAAGGGAGAAAAGAGATTCAATTAAATCAATTTCAACAGATGGTAAAGATGAAGGGAATAAAGAGCCAGGTGCGGATCGTGCAATGCCTGACTATCAACTACGTTTCACTCCGAACTTCAAGCCTGCACCATAGCAATGTTTACTCAAAATCGGTCAACCGCATGACATGTATGTTGAGGAAGTTTCGAGCCCACCCAGTAAGGGTTTTCACAGTAGGGGAAAAAGCAGTAAAAGCACCTCGGTCAGTGCCCAGTCCAGTAGCTTCGCAGTATACGTACCCAAGGGTTCGCATAACATGTATACGGTGAAAGTGGTTCAATCTAGATCTGTGACTTTCTTAGTCAATCTTTACATTTGTTCACATATGCCGTAGAACTCCCTTGCGTTTTCATCGCCCTCGTGACAAGACGCGAAAAGCGAGGCCACACCAACACATGACGCAAAGTCGAGAAACTTGATACGAGGTTTCACAACATTGGCTAGGTGAGGCATAATAGATGTAATGTTCATCCGACAGAGCCTTGGTATGGCGCCATTCCGTCATCCAGACCTCTGAGCCTGGGCAGCGACTTGCAAGTCGCTCCAAATGCTACCATAAACCAGCATGAACCAATAATTCATCCGCGCCAACTGCGTAATAGCCTATTAGTCCTCAAGGGTACCTTTGCCGTAGGATCCGAAGACGCGGCAGCACCTACGCGTTGCTGCGGCTCAGCTCGCAGTCAGCAGCCACAGATGGCGATGGCGCGACAATCGGCCAGTGAAGTTTACCCTTAAATCCAAACCAGTTGCGATTGGCCTGTCAAATTACTGCACAGTGGGATATTGCGAAGTAGTCATGCGGCACAGATGTTCGTGATGCTGTAATGGAAACTGGTATTCAAACTTCTTTTCATCGTTACCACATCAACGACACTTATCAGGCGTTTAGCGGTGGCTTGCTGCACGCAAGACATGGAAGAATTCCGTCAGACCGCACATATAAATATGAAATTAATGCTTAGAATAAAACCTCGCAAGACCAACAAGGCCTTCACATGACAGACCAATTTCATTTTATTCTATAATCGAATTCAAATTATACGACGAAGAATATATTGAGATGAAATTTTACACCCCTCTCGTTGGAGCATTCGTGGCCCTTGGCCAGACTGCCTCTGATGCCAGTTTAAATCCTACGCAGTTCAGCTGGGTTTTAACCCCACCTTTGAAAACTCTGAAGTATTACGACTGTTACGGAGGCTTCCAATGCGCTCGATTGCAAGTCCCGCTTGACTGGTCCAATCCGAATCTGAAGACAAACACGACTGTTGCTGTCGCCATAATAAAACTCCCGGCCACGGTTTCAGAGGACGACGCAACGTTCGGTGGCAGTGTCTTGATCAGTCCCGGAGGCCCCGGAGATTCTGGTACAGACTTGCTTCTTCGTTCGGGAAGCCGTTTCCAGAGCCTTCTGGCGGGCGAACGCAACTACGAAATTATTGGCTTCGACCCCCGGGGTGTCAATTTGAGCACACCACGTGGCGATTGCTACAAAGGCGACGAAATCTCTCGGAAGCTGGACCAAGAGCGCAACACAGGTCTCAGCCCTATCACGGAGGATTTCAATGCCCTCAATTATCACTATGCATCAGCTTTGGGGAAAAGTGAACTTTGTGAGGTTGATGGTGTCGATAGTATCTGGGGTTACCTCAATACCGCCTCGGTTGCCAGAGATGTGATTGAGATTATTGACCGAATCGATGACCTTCGCTGGCAGAATCGCAACTCAACAAAACCGGCGAATGCTCCAAAGCCTAGACTACAGTACATCGGCATATCATACGGATCCTTTCTGGGAAACACGTTGGCTTCTATGTTCCCCGAGCGGGTGGGAAGAATTATGGTTGACGGAATCGTGAATGCCGAGGACTACACCAACGTTGTGAGTTACTCAGTCCCCACAGACGTCTAAGGCTATGTAATATATGAACTAACCCTTTTTCTGAAGACTTGGCAGAAGAATCTGAATGATGCGGAAGCCGTTCTCGATTACTTTTACCAAGTCTGCTTTGACTCTGGAGAGGGCTGTCCAATCCGACTATCATCAGACAAGGAAGCTGCCGATATCAAGAGCCGCGTTGAGGCTTTTCTTAACACTCTAGACATCCGTCCAATTCCAGTGGCACACGGCGGCAAAGTTGATTTGATTACATCGCCTACTGTTCGGCTTCTAATCTTAACTCTGATTTACCAACCTGTCAAATTTGAGTTACTTGCCCTTGGTCTCGGAGCCCTTATCACCGGCGAATACGTTTCGTTTCTTGAGATGCTATCGGCGGACGCCCCTGATATCACTTGTGGCGGTTCCACGTCCCATAACGAGGCGCCTCCCTATACCTGGTACGAAGACGTAGCATACGGTGTCGTTTGCAGCGACGCAGTTGACGGCGTGGCTTATCGCAACCTCTCTGTTTCCGATGAACTGGTGCATATAATCGATAGACAAGCCCCAACAACCGGCGTTGTGTGGGGTGATCGTGTCATCGCCTGCGCCGGCCGCAAGATTCGGCCGCCATTTGCCTTCACTGGACCCTTTGGTAGTCCGGCGGTCAATGTCAGCGACCCGAACACCCCTGAAGCCCCTTTACTCATTCTTTCTTCGCGTTTCGATCCCGCCACGCCTGTGGCCAATGCATTCACCTTACAGAAACAACATGTGGGCTCGGGTGTTGTAATTCAGGAATCAACGGGCCACGGTGTAACTGGGGCGGGAATAAACTCATGCACGGCGAATATTATCCGGGAATTTTTCTTGAGTGGAAAAGTGCCCCTGAATTTGACAATATGTCAAGCAGAATGCATTCCGACCATTCCCGCGGAGAGAAGCAATTGCTCAGCCCCTTTGTGGTAAGTGCCCAGGAAAGGGCAGCGATACCATGGGTTTTTCTTCTTCAATGGCTCCGTATCAAATGAATTATGTAGGCCTTACTGGAATCAACACAATTGCTCGAGTTCCGCCGATGAGGATAGTGCAGTCATTTGTGCAATGTGCCAGCGAGAACTAAGTCAGGGCCAGCCTCTCCATCCCAAAGAATGATCCTTTCGTTTCGCGACTGAGCAGAATGGCCGAAGAGGCTAAGGCCTTATATGGTCGCTGTCTATTCATGACAGTCCAGATAATGCCGCCATATTATGCCTCACTGGTGGCGTTAGGCATACCTTTAGTAGGAGCTGTTTGCTCTCCCCCATTCCCCCAGACCACTTGTTGATGCCATGCATCCAATCAAGTCAATAATGTGGCGGGTCATTGACTGTCGTGATGATCGCCTGGATAAGAAATAAGAGGTTACGGTGATGGCCCCCCTCCTATTGACTTCAGTCCAACAACCACTGCCTAGCCAAAGCCTGGTCACTTTGAATGTTTTCCCAGTGGCTACTGAATGTTGGTGACTAGCGCCGTGGCATCCTGCAGGATTCAAGCCTGTCAGATGGACTTCTGCCGTCTTACCTCGCAGGTTTTGTTGGCCATTCGGAATCTCATGCATGGCTCGGGCGGAAAGGGACGAATGCTAGACTAGGGGCCCCCGTATACCGGAGGATGCAGATTTCAGCCCCCGCTTCGCACAGCTACGTGTGACGTGTAGAGTTGTCGCTGTACCTGGACTCGCAAGATTGCGCTAGAGAGTGAGGAGAGGGAGGAACGCATACAAATGCACGAGATTGATACGCATCTAAGCAATGAGATATAGTTGCTAAGAAATTCACCTACAGGTTGTCTGGTGCGAACACGATCGATTCCCCATCAGCTGTGTGTTACGTAGTCGGCTTCGAATAGGGCGAGCGGGCTGTTCAATGTGTCAAAACAGAGAATGGCTCCACGGCCTCCGCTTTGTATTTATACCACACTTCGTTTCAAGTTACACCAGTCTGGATACATCCCGGTCTGGCGCAGTAAGCGTAGCTATCTGCTAGGACTGCGGCTGACAGCGTCCGCAACGGGGATTCGCCAGCTGAGCGAGGTTCTACCATGCCAACAGAGAACGCTGCTGGGTGGAAACCTGTGCTTGGGCAATTTGGACCATTCGGGTCGCTCACTTCAGGCCGCCTGAGGGGTTATGCAAGCCATGTCACTCATTAAGATTACGTGCGGCGAGTCCTCGTTATCAAGAATTAGAGGGGATGCTCACCTGCAGTTCGGCCTGTCTTGTGCAGAATTTGCACTTATTTAAGGTCTGGCTATCCACTCATCAACTGAGACACTAGTAACGGAGCGACTTCCGAATGAGACCTGTTGTTGAATTTTGAATGCGACATCATGAACCTCCTATCGTCACCATCACAAGAGATTTTGCTGCTACTCGCATGGTGCATTATTGGGACTTCAGTTGCGCAAAATGACCCTGTCCGGGACTTCTGTCGGAGATGGGGGCACCAGTCGGCGGTCGTGGACCGTAAGTTATACATTGACGGGGGCCTGATCAACTACAAACCCTTCTCGTCATCATCTCGAAATTTCAGCAGTAGGTTTCTGCGCCTTCACCCCGCTTCAGAGTTGATTGAACAGGTTGTAACAAGATATCAGATACCGTCCTTGCATACAATGACCTCGACGACGTGCCTTCGACGCTCGGAATGCCCCAGTTCCACGATGGCCTTTCCAAGAACACGACGATACCGAGCGTAAGCGGCGGCATTCTATGGGAAGACTCGGTGAACAAGCGGCTGTTCCTTTACGGGGGTGAATACTTCGAGGATCCACCGGCCGCCTTCGTTCTCTACAGCTACGATATCCTCTATAACAACTGGGTGTCACTTGGGTCTCCCACTGGCGCTGGAAACGCCAATGCAGGTAGTTATGGTGCCGGAGTTTCGATCTCATCGAGGGGAGAGGCATATTACTACGGCGGATGGCAGAGCAACGCTTCTGTGCCAGGATGGACAGGTCCGCCGAAGGCTCTGAGCAGACTTATCAAATACGACATGGACAAGAACTCCTGGAATAGCGTCGCGGGCCCCGACAACGTCGGCAGGGCAGAAGGCGTGATGGTCTTCATCCCAATTGGAGATGCTGGAATGCTGGTCTACTTCGGTGGCAGTCAAGACCTGGACGGCAATGGGACCCTGACACCACAACCCATGGATGAGATCTTTCTGTACGACGTCGCGAATACGAAGTGGTACACACAGAAAACTTCCGGTCGTACTCCCGAAATACGGAGGCGTTTCTGTGGCGGTGCGACCTGGGCCCAGGACCAGTCCAGCTACAACATGTAAGTCCGTACTTTCAGGAAGGCTATTGGAGCCAAAACTGACCTCATCTCAGTTACATCTTCGGCGGCGCAGGCTTCCCTCCGGATACTACGGGATACGACGATATCTACATCCTCACCATCCCCAGCTTTCAGTGGATCCGAGGTCCGTACCCGGCCAACAGCAACGTCACGGGGGAATTCCCCAAAAGCATGATGAGCTGCAACGTGGTCGACAACTCACAGATGCTTGTCATTGGCGGTTCCTATTCCAACGATACCACGTACTCATGCGATGCCGACAATGTATGGGGCACGCACAACATGAACCTAGGTCAAGATAATGACGAGAATGCTATCTGGTTACGTTACCTGCCCAGTCTGACCACCTATGCCGTGCCTACCGACATTCTGACGGCCGTGGGTGGCCGTGACGGCGGCGGCGCGACACGAACGGCGCCGACAAGCGGCTTCGACGCCCCAGACCTCTCCGTCCTCATGACACGCAAGGCGACGCCGGCAACTAGAACGCCCACGCGCCCCGTCAGCCTCGCTACCTCGTCTTCGTCAAACTCTAGTACTCCATCCTCTGGGCTGAGCAAGGGGGCCATAGCAGGCATTGCGGTTGGTTGCGGCGTGGCTCTCCTACTAGTGTTGACTGGTTGTTTTTGTTTCATCCGTCGCCGGCGGGCGTATTCCAGGGAAGAACACGCCTCAGCACTGGCTCCAGGGGCAGGGATGTCAATGGCATATCACCATGGTCAAGCCCATCAGGGGCCGATGTACGGCGGCTGGGGCAGTACGCAGGTGTCCTCGCCGACGATGACAGCTACCTCGCCTGCGATTCCGCCTGCTGAGCTTGGGAATGGAGCTGAGCTGCAGTACCCCAATCACAGCATTAGTCCTACGAGCGGCAAACATGACATTGGCTACGGAGGGCCATCGCCCGTGATGCCAAATGAGAGAGCAACTTAGCTCTTGGGAGCAGGGTCTCGAGGACGGAGTTCTGATGAGAGGAGCCACTTTCTTAGCCTGGAGTACGACTAATACCCGTTTCCTTGGATCATGCAGAACTAAGTGCTTCAAGTATAGGTATATTAACAAAGCATTCAATCAACATGCTTGAAAGGTCCCATCGCGTGTGATTTAGAGGCACAGGATTCATAGTTAGCCAATGTCAACCCTACTAGACGTTGGCGAAGATGAGACAGCATAAGGATAATGGGAGCCAGCTACGATGAACTAGACTCAAGTCGTGGGCATAAACTACCTGTGATTTTAATGGAATGTTGTCGTCCAAGACCGGAATGTGTAAATGTACGCGGTGCGGAACCGATCAAAGCTGAGATTTCTGTTTCAATAACGTCAAGCTAACGATTAGTAGAGTTTTGCTATCCGGTTGGATATTCTAGCTGACTAGGCGGACTACTACCTGTATGTTATGTTAAACGACGGTTTTTACCATTATTGCTTCAATTATCGTCTTCATCTTCGCTGTCTTCATACTCATTACTACTATTGTCCTAACATCACTTTCCGCCTGGGTAGCTTGTAGTATCCGACTGGGTAGCAAAAATTAACTGGTTTGTTATCGAGATCTTGCCTGTCTTTCAGACTAACACGCACCTAAAATACTTCCATGTTCGCTGTTGTATAACCCTTTTGTATATCTCATAGAGTCTGCAGTGCTTTTAAACGATAGATATCCATAATATCGATAGATGTGCCGTGTATGCGCTCTCCTGAGCCTCTCACTGTATCTTCGCCGCATTGTATCTTTCTCGCAGCACAGACCTATCAAACGTATCTGGAAGTGGCTTGGCTCAATCAAGAGACCAATTGCTGTCAGTGTGTCGAATAGATCTTAGAGAGCAGGTGGAGGCTAGACAGCGAGGTGCGTCAGTTGGGTAATACGGCCGATGTCGCGCGTTTTTCGATGAAATAAACATATTATTTTAATAACTAAAATACACATTTGTTAATGTTTTCGTAGGTTCATAGCGGTCGGGATGCGAAAGCGACTGAGTATTTCAAAGTTTCACTGCCCGGGCGGATAGGGACCGCACGAACGACGAGGCCAAATAATACAACAAAAACAATAAAATGAGAGTGGTAGGGAAAACAGGGATAATCTGATTCTTTGGAGCCGAATACCATGTAGTGAGTGAAGGTTAGAGCAACGACTTCGTTCGATCGATGTAGGAACAAGGGTGAATGGCATATTTCATTCTCTCCAATCTTGGAATACGCCTATATGTCCTGCAAGCTGTATTCAACCATGCACTCGGTGAGTCTTCCTTCAAAATTCCCTTTTTCCTCGAGATGCCTAAACGAACCAACGGGCAATATCTGAACCTGCCTTTGCCTCGGCGCACCTAGCTTATCTTACGGATGACGCCGTCTGCATAACGAGGCGACGAGGCAACCGAATCCAAGGCAGCTGCGGCAGGCTGAGCTGCATGTCATCCAGGCGACAGCAAGGCGTCCTCGGGTAGGGAATGATAGCCCGTGGCGATTCCGATATGTGGTAAGCAGGGGGTGCGGTTCTGAAAATGAGTGATTGGAGATACGAAAGTGGAAAGCGCTGCAGTGAACCGCACCAAATCATCAGTCAAGTATTTTCAGCGTGTGGATTGAGACAAGGCGGGGATGGCGAATCTCATCCCTTATTCAAGGTCACCGGTTGGTCAGCTCCAACGCAACATGTTGGGTAGTACAGCATGAAAATCCACAGCCTGCAGCAAGCTGCCTCTTTTGTAGAAACCGATGAAGGTCAGGCGGACACAGATGCGGCTCAACAAGGACAGAACCGGGCTGTCTTCGTCGACCCTCCTCTCTGTAAATTTACTGGCCTTTTTTATCGCCAAGCCAATACCCATGGCCTGTCAGTTTTTCCATTTATTACGACACACCGTCTAGCTGAATGATGCCTGGCTTGGAAATCTGCCTCGCGCCCACCTTCCCAACAACAAGGACCACGCGCAAGCAGGGAAAAGACTCCGCCTCATCATGGAGACGTCCACAATTTCTTCCTACCGAATCAAGCAGAGCGACCTAGAAGGATGGCTCAACACCCAGTTTGGGGCTGGCCAGAGCTCAGTCCAAGTAAGGCATCCGGCAAGACGTTTTTCAGAAGCTTTTCTAACGATTGCCTCCCGTTGATCAGGCAAAAGACGGTGACTACGTTGTTTCGGCTCCTAGAAGCATCAGTTCGGTACGTACTGGTACGAAGCCAGGTCTTCAATCTTCAATATCAAATTCCATGATTTCTACATTTTTCTGACACTTTGCACAGAGCGAAGTCGAACACTTGAAGACGTCTGATTAGAGAGGACTCTATCTCAGACTGCCTAAGCAGGCTGTGAAACATCAGCGAAATTTACACATGAAGGCACATTACACGATATCGGCTAGGTTTTATGGCAGTCAGGCGTAGGCAGGCATGGAGTTGGCGGTGTCAGATACAGCCTTATGCATCCTCGTGTGAAGGTACTTCGGGCAACGACTCTGTTCTATTCTGAGTCTTCATTGGCTCGGTGGAAAGCTCGAAGGAAATACATGTACCACGAGTAAGGGCCAAAAAGTACCGTGGTCAGCAGATTGAGAAGCCTTATTGACAAGAGCCCACGTTCGTGTGAGAGCCTAAAAGATAAAAACTTATTCCCCCCAAATGTTGCAGGCAGCCGAATGAACAACTACCCTTTCCGTTTGAAATCTTACAGAATTAAGCGCGATTGGCGGGCTGGATTTCAGTGATCGTTAGCCCCAAGCCTGGAGAAAGAATGTCGACACAGATGCAGACTCCCCCTAGCGCCATGCAGCAACATGACCCCAATGACCAATTGGTGGGGATTTGGCCGGATTCAGACCAATACATCATGCCACAAGCCGAAGAACGAGAGCCTTTGGATTTTCTCGAGGCTCAGAGGCTCTGGAGCCCGTTCAACGACCAGGGAAGGCTACCAACTCTTTTCAATACACCTGGTGCAAAGTTAGACGTGTGGGAGACAGGACTGCGCAACAGTAAGTGAGCCTCGACAAATTCTAGACATTCGCTTATCCTTCTCAGAGTTTCCAGAGGATATTCTATCCCTGTCTAAGCCCGATGCGATTCGCAAGCATTTTATTCGACCCGAAAAAGACCCTCATATTCGTCATGTGTAAGACTTGGTCAAACATCCCTGAGCAAAGGAGGGTACTAACGATGGCCTTCAGCTTTGTCGGTTCAAACGACTCGAGATCGCCAATGAACTGTTCTCCTGAGATATTCCGGTTCATTTGTGCTTATCATCAGGTTGAGCCTTTCTTCCTGGAGGCTGTTCTTTCGTTCGGAAGACAGCCATACCCAATTGACTACTGCCTGGCTCATTTCAGGTCAAAGACACTTGTGGAAAGCAAGACGCCAGTTCCTCACGCACTTCCTAAATTTGGGAGGTCGGGAAATACAACTCACGTATCATACTTGTTACGTTCCGTCGAACACTCAGGGGCAGAGGGCATCGACGGATGGCAGATCAGACAAGCTGCAAACTACCATACCTTTGACCTCGAGACTGGACGATCTTTCTGGTTCACTATCAAGGCCAACAAAGTTTTCACGAACCGCATAAAGGAATTGACTCCTCGCTTGAAGATTCCCTCTAAGCCAGAAACCGCGGATGGTAATATTGTTTCATATCTCAAGGCATCTCTGGATACCCACCTGCTTTACCTTTCCTGGTGTGACGAGGGCTGGCGTGACTTCATCAACGACTTCGAGACCTCGATCCGAAATATCGTGCTTCCCGCAAAACCTGCGCTAGTGGACGATCATATCAATCCGGAGTCCTCTCATTATGACATTCTACCCTGGGCATTGCAACAAAAGCGACGGCAGCGCACCATGTCGCACGGCCTATCCAGAGGCAACACCGGACTCACCAGCAATCATAGTGAGAAAAGTGCTCCTAGTACGGTCAAAGAGCGAGTCTTTTCCTTTAGTCACTCCTTTTTTGGATTGAAGACGACTAAATCAGATGAGGAACAGGGACTTCAATCAGAAAACGCAGCATACCGTCGGCAGAATCCCAACGCAGGACTTGACCCATCCGGATCCCTGGACAAACTACGTATCAAAGATATCCAGACTCTGTACAGTCGATCAGAACTAATGCAGAGATCGCTCTTAGTGCTAGAGCTGAACACGGGCGTACTGCGTGATCTCCATGCCTATTATAGCAATCTGACGAAGACTGAACTCAAGGATCCAAAGTACAAAGAAGTTGTCAACGGTTTTCTGTCGAGGCTTGAATCAATCATCAGAAGGCTCGAGACTAGACGAGCACAGCTGAACTCACTCTCTATGCATCTCAACCAGAGCATTCAACTAGTAAGTTCACATCAAGAAGAGATGTCCCTACCAGACTGACCAAATAAGTACGAACTGGTTTTGCAGCAGCGATCGAATCAGATTGGAATGGATTTTGCAGATGTTGCCCACGAATCAAACAGACAGATGAACATGGTTGCCGACAAGACATCGAGACAAACAGCTTCCATGCATGTTATCACTGTCGTGACCCTGATATTTCTACCCGCCACATTCGTTGCAGTAAGAGAGGTTTGCCCTCACCTTTGCGGCTTGCTATGAACTTCTGACGCTCTCAGACTTTCTTTCAAAGCGGAGTGTTGGCACAGGACGAAGATACCGGTGCTTTCAGTTTTCAACGGGAGAGCTTCAGACTCTTTGGTCTTGTTTGTGGGCCATTGACAGCCATTACGATGGGAACTTGGTTAGTGGTGTTCGTGTGTTTGAAATGGAAGGCGAAGAAACAGGCTCAGGCCGAGAAAGATCAGCGTGTTGGGACTTTGGGGGAAGAGAACGTTAAAAGACTGTAAGATGAGTGGCTTGGTGTCTCTTGGTGGCGTTCGGGAGTGTGTTCTTTATTTTGGAAGTGGAATAATGGCGGTTTATGTACAATTCCATAGAATGTTCTTGCGATTACACGGGTGAGAGCCTAGCCCGGGCGTCTGTCTGCCTCGTCCGTTGACTGTGACGTACTTTGACCGGCTGGTGCCAGATGAACTCGGAGGTCACCTTCTCACCTTACTCTTAGTGGGCATCTTTCGGTGAACACATGGCCTGAAAATTCAGCCCTCACTCGAATGCATGCAAGAGACCAATCGAGGCGCACGTCTACACACCATCAGAACATCCTAGTCTGGTGTGAAGTGCTAGTTGAATGGAGGAAAGGCAATGGGAGGTATGGTTTTAGGTCCATAGGTCAGCTGTAGGGCTGCAGCCTGCAGGTTTTCAGGCTCAGTCGCCGCAAGGCAGCCTGCCCGGCAGCCAGTTCGCAAAGTGGATGGGCTCCCCGCGAACTCCCTGCAGGTGATGCCTGGTGCCCTCAATCCTTCGCGGGTTGCCTAAGCCCACCGTTGGCATGTTTCTGGCTGCTCTCTGGGTGCCGTCATTGGCACAACCTGGCACTTTGCAGATTGTGGACGATCGCTACGCTTATAACCGCCATTGCCCACAACAATTTTGCTTCATTTTCACATGAAATTCGTCGTTAGCTGTACTTCCTCTTCTTCATTCTTGTCTCTCGTGGATTTCACTCACTTGAATGGCACGACATCTTGCTCTCGTTTGGGCCTGCAGTAAACCTCGGAACTAGTCGAGCAACCTGACAAGTCCCAGAAAATGTCCGATAATCACATCGTCACTGAACTGCGAGACCATGTCGCCAACATTGTTGAAGAACATGGATGCTAGGGCATTGACTATTATGGCGATGTGCGCGAGTTTGTCCCTCAACTGGCGCTTACCGACTTTTGGACGTTGGAGAAAATCACCGCCATCTTCTGTCACGACCGGAACAAATTGATACTGCACAGCGCCGTGGACATTATGAATCACTACATTGTAGTGTTCTCGATTTTGGTGTTGACATCTGGGGCCGAACACCTAGAACTTTTCACCCAAGAAGATATCAAGGACACAAGCCTCCCACTGCATTCGATACCAGAGTCATATCGTGAGTCGCGTCACAAAGAGGCATTCGAGGATTTTCTCAAAGCCCAGTGGAAGTTCTGTCCACTACACTTCAGCATTGGAACAAATCCGAAACCAAGCAAGAAGAACTTGTCACCTAGAATGATTATCCCTATTTCACCTGTGGGGAAAATAAAAATCAATCCTGAAGCGAAAGAGGAGACCGATGCAGCTGTCCTCTACAAAGTGGAATTCCACCCTCACTCTACCCTACTCACAACCCCTGTAAGTTGAGATCGTAACGTCTGACGGAGATGAAAGAAACTGAAATATATGTCAAGGTCGTTTTCAAGGAGTACCTCAAGTCTGGTCCAGAAATCCAAAAGCTATATGACAACGAATGGGCCATGTATACTCAACTGAAAGAAGACTCCTTCAATCACATTGTGAGATATCATGGGTCTTTTCAATGTCTCGATAGACGGACAATAGTTCTGGAGTATGCACCTGGGGGTGACCTGCTTTCTTACTTCAGAAAGCGAAAGCCCCCAAGCACAGACTGGCACCGAAAGCAGTTTTGGCAGAACTTGTTCGGACTTCTCGAGGGTTTGGTAGCCATTGACGACCTGACGCGGTATGGCGACCAGTCAAGAGATACGTGGCACTTGAAAGGGTGAGTATCCTGTTTGTTCGTGCAGAAATCCTGGCTGATACTAGAGAAGAACGCATCAAGATATCCGCCCGCAAAACATCTTGATATGCGGAGAGCCGTCGGACGATGATTACTCTGTGCCATTCAAGTTCGCAGATATGGGTTTGGCGCACATACGCAAGGTGAAGAACGAAGGCATTGACAGATTTGCCACAGATCACTTTGGCAACGGAATGTATAGTATGTTCACGGCAAACGAATGAACTACTAGCCCAAACTCACAAGGAAACAGGCGCCCCGGAGGCCTTTCGAGATGATGGAGGCATCAAAACTATCCGGCACAAGAGTGACGTCTATTCACTCGGTGGAATCCTCAGTGAGGCTCTGATATGGGCTCTCTGGGGAGAGCGAGGCCGAGAGGCTTACCAAGCAGAGCGTGTTGAAGCTACACGTGAGATCAGATTGAAGGGCGGCTATCACGAGGGAGCCTTCCATGACGGCGATGGGCTTTTGACCGTCGTCGAGAGATGGCACGAGCGGGCTGTCGATCTCACTGGTGGCAAGGCAGAAGCTTTGAGCCAGCTCATCGTGAAGTCAATGCTCGCCGCTGACCCGGACAGACGGAAGACTGCTGCTGAATTACTCGAGAATTTCACGGCTATTATTCCAACCTTGGAGTCGGACTCGAGCCCACGGAACTACATGTCTAAACGACAACAAGGATGGCCACTGTCCCCTCTGTCGCTTGCAACTCGATCCCAAACGACACCGATTGGACCGAGAGATGCATATCAATCCCCAACGCCAATCGCACGCAGTTCCCGAGTTTCTTCGATGCAGACGAACAAATCATCCATCGCAACTTTCCTCACTGCCTCTCCAGATCTCATGGAACCATTCATGAGCCCTCTGAATGTCTCAACACATGAATACACGCGTCCTGTCGATGCGCTCCATATCGGCAGACGCAGTGATCCCCAATTTGGACCTCAGAACAATTCGTCTGGCCCCGGCTGTAAAGGAAAGCTTCCTGCTTCTTATTCCCTTCCGTCACAACAGGAAGGTCCGTTTTTTGACGAAACATCATCATCACGCTTCGGGACAAACAGGACTTCACTGCCCATCCGGACTGGAAGTAATCGGAAAAAGACCACAGCCCAAGAACCGGGACGTCAGTCTCCACGAATTTTATCTCCTGTTTCGACGCTGAATTCGAGACCTGCGACTAATGTTGGGAGTACTATGTCCCCTCAACACCTGTCGAATGGGGAATCGTCGTCCCACGTATTCCAGCAACCCAGCGCACTTCAGCATGCCAAACCATCTCTCGCCGGAATAACGGTGGGATCCGGAAGCGTTGAGAGATCGCAACGGAAAACTAGCTCGGAGCCACCGATCACCATTGATCAAATTTGGCAGACCTGTTTTGAGCCGGGTGGCAGAAGTACTCATCACTTCGGCCGCAAACTTCTCAGATTCAATTCCGAGACTGAAGATCCTCTGAAGGCATTTCCCGCATTGCAGAAAACTTTGAAGAGGCTCAAAGGAAACAATGGAAGAAACCAGGTAAATAATTGACTGTGACTGAGCCTAATTTTGCCTGAAGCTAACATATCTTCCTTTCCAGATATTCGTCATTGACGACTCAAAGTCTATGGCTATTCACCGAGAGCAAGTGGCTCGCACTTGTCGGGTCTTGACCAAGTTGCTGAAAAGGGGGCATGTCGATCCTGATAAGGAATTTGAATTGTTCTTTGCATCTGAGGGCAACCCTATTAGGGAGAAAAATGGTACAGACCTCCAGCTTGCGGTGCAAAGGCAATCTTTTACCAATCATCGTTGCGAAATGCACACGATTCTCGACCAGGTAGCTTCGAGAGTCATCGAGGAGGAGCAGCCAGTCAGTATCTACGTGTTGACGAATGGCCATTGGGACATTCGTACCCCGAAAAGTATCTGCAACGTTGAAAAGCGTATTGTACGGCTCGTAAAGCACATTGTCGACAATAACAAGCAGTCCAACTGGGCCATGGTTCAGTTCATCAGCTTTTTCAGAGACCCACCTATCGAGGCCGATGAACATGGGAGGGCGCGATTGAAGTACCTGGACAACGACCTGAGAGCAGATCTAGGACTTGAAAGGTATTTCATCTCTCCTTCGTTGGATGAATGCAGCTAACAGTCTCATTAGAGATATCGTTGACACCCGAAGCTCCAAGAAAGACGTGAGAAAGATTCTACTAGGATCTTTATCACCAGAGGCAGATGAATCGCCATCAGAGTCGGATTAAATGTACCGAACAGCGATGCATTACGACGTGGGGAAGTAGTGTTTACAGATTTATGAGCTATGACAAGACAAATTTAGATACCCAAAGAACGGTTAGATAGATAGAATTTTGAGAAAAATTATTAGGGGAGTCAGCTTGCCCTTTAAGTATCATTGTATTTACACAACCATCTCGGTCGTCTCTGTCATTATCGCCGTTGGTGTTGCTATCTTCGTCTCTGTCCTATTTCTACTGCCTTTTCCATTGTTACCCGTTGTTGTCTCTGTCGTCGTCACTGACCTCGTCACAATCTCATTAAAGCCTTCAAGTCCATAAAATCAGGAACAACTTTCCATGGAAAATACAACGCAGCCGTGAATGCAACACGAAAACAAGCGTTCTTTTCTAGGAGAAGCTCAATCAGTGCCCGATAAGAAACTGAGCAACCGCATCGGCCTGAATGGCCACGAGGACACCGGTCCCCACACGGCGACAGGTCCCTGCTGCCAGCTGGCCCAAGCTCATGCAGGTCCGGGGATCGTTCCGCCTAACGTGGCCCACAACACCTCTGCGCCATCTTAGTTTCACTTTGTTTCTGTTAGCCGAAACCCATCCTTCTCAAAAACTCGCTCATATTGACAAGGTATTCCCTTAACAGCAACCTTGAGGGATCATCGCTGACGTAGCGGGTTTCCGGGGCAGCTCACAGCAGCTCCCGCCCGTTGCTATCTCAGGCACCCGTGACCGTGACTCGTCCCCAAACGGTAGCATTCCCAGCGAGACCGGCGACTATCAGCCAGCTGTTCGACAGCTACCTTAGCTTCTCCCTCCTCCTCCCAATTCTCCTCCCCTCTCTTCATCCTCCATCACCAACCGCAAACCACCCATCATGGCTCGAAATCAACCACCAGCGATGCTCTCCCTCCTCCTCTCCGCGGCCCTCGCATCCGCCGCTCAACCCGGCGCCGCCCCCGCCGTCGCCGCCCCGATGCGCGACCTGATCTGGGGCCAGCTCAACTTCCTCCACACGACCGACACCCACGGCTGGCACGGCGGCCACCTCCTCGAGCCGCAATACTCCGCCGACTGGGGCGACTACGTCTCCTTCGCCGCCCACATGCGCCGCAAGGCCGACGAGCGCGGCGCCGACCTCCTCGTCGTCGACACCGGCGACCGCGTCGAGGGCAACGGCCTCTACGACGCCTCCGCCCCCAAGGGCCTCTTCACCTACGACGTCTTCCGCGAGCAGACCGTCGACCTCATCTGCACCGGCAACCACGAGCTCTACATGGCCGACGCCGCCCAGCGCGAGCACGACATCACCGTCCCAAACTACAAGGAAAACTACATCGCCTCCAACCTCGACTACATCGACCCCAAGACCGGCGAGCGCGTGCCCCAGGCCCAGCGCTTCCGCCGCTTCAAGACCAAGAACCAAGGCCTCGACGTCATCGCCCTCGGCTTCCTCTTCGACTTCACCGGCAACGCCAACAACACCGTCGTCCAGCCCGTCGAGGACACCCTCAAGGAGGAGTGGTTCACGAAGCTCATCGGCGAGGAGAAGCCCGACCTCTTCGTTGTCATCGGCCACGTCGGCCTGCGCATGCCCGAGCTCAAGAAGATCTACACCGCCCTGCGCAAGGAGAACTGGAGCGTGCCGATTGCCATCTTCGGCGGCCACGCCCACGTCCGCGACGCCCTCAGCTTCGACAAGGAAGCCTTCGCCATGGCGAGCGGGCGCTACTTTGAGACCATCGGCTGGATGTCCGTCGACAACATCAAGAAGCGGTCCAAGAAGTCCGACGACGTCTCCGCCGAGGCCGTCTCCTTCACGCGAAAGTACATCGACAACAACCTGTACGGGCTACACCACCACACCGGCCTCAACGAGACGACCTTCCCCACCGACCACGGCCGCAACGTCAGCGCCATGATCACAAAGGCCCGCAAGGCGCTCGACCTCGACTACAAGTACGGCTGCGCGCCCAAGGACCTGTGGATGAACCGCGTCGAGTACCCGAGCGACGACAGCATCTACACCTGGCTCGAGAAGGAGGTCCTGCCCGCCGTCATCCACAACAAGGACCGCAAGGACGTGCCCCGCCTCGCCATCGTCAACACGGGCGGCATCCGCTTCGACATCTTCAAGGGCGCCTTCACCAAGGACAGCACCTTCATCGTGTCCCCCTTCACCAGCGGCTTCAAGTACATCCCCGACGTCCCCTACGGCGTCGCCAAGCGTGTGCTTGACCTGCTCAACCAGGCCGGCAAGATCTTCGAGGCCGACACGCAGGACGCGCGCTTCATGAACATCCCCGAGATGATGTACCCCACAGGCGACATCCTCAACGCCATTAAGAAGGCCGACGCCGACCAAGAGCCCCGCCGCCTCGAGCTCCGTTCGGAGCAGCACCCCCTCGCTGACGACGAGAAGTCCAAGCCGGACCTCGTCAGTGGGTACACCACCAAGGACGACCTCGGCACCGACGGCGACGACACGGAGCACACCCCGATCCCGTCCTTCCCCGTCCCCAACTGCATCCAGACCGCCATCGACTTCCCAAAGGAGGGCGAGCCGGAGAAGGTCGACCTCGTCTTCATCGACTTCATCCTGCAGTGGGTCATCGTCGCCCTCAAGTTCAGCGGAGGCGACTACAGCGACAAGGACGTGCTGACGTACTCCGACGAGACGCTCACTTACAAGATGGGCGAGTGGATCAAGCAGAATTGGAAGGGCGACTGCTGAAATAGAGAGAGCGTAACAGCGAGATTGAGCAGTAGAGCAAGACTTCTCTAGATGCCGGCTCAGATCGCCATCTTATTAGATTGATTTTTTAGCCTCGGGTGTATGAATCGTGGGAGGAGTTCATGGATCAGTCTGGGGCCCGTTGTTTCTTCTTTTTTTAATCGGGCGATATTATACGCATGACACTTTTCATCTAGATCAGACAGACATTGGCTTAAGGGAATATCGGACACGAATGGGACGGGAAATTGGGACGGTTAGGGAACCTTTTCGTCTGGTGACATAAGATGCACGAGAACGCAGTAGACTGCAAATGACATAACACCATCCATCTTCACATCGCGACTTCAAGCTGTGCCAAGCCGACGATCGCAGTGCCCTTTCCGCTTGGTCGGCAATTGTGCTCATCCGTCCCTTTGCCCTCTTACCTGTGCCTGTCAGTGTCACTCGCTCACCTGAAGGAGCCCATTCTTCGTATCGTTCCTGCGAGCGGACTATGCCCGTGCTTGGCAAGCAGAAAACGGACGACGCGAGCTGGCATCACTCTCGTGTTCGTTGTCCGTAGTGGCTTGCCCCCCTCCCCTTTTCCCTTTTGTCCTAACTCTCGCTACACACATGCATTTGCCTCGTGGCGCACGGCAGAGGCCGAAGGATAAGCCCAGCCATGCCAAGATCAGATCGAGAGCAGATAAGGTAAAATGATCGATCAAGAAGTTGATGAGAGTGTGCAAGGGGAGGGATAGAGGGAAAATCTTTCGCATGAAAGTCAAGTCTCGTTTTCTACGAGTTAAAATGGAAACGCCCGAGCGGGTGCAGTAGTCATGGGCGCGGCTCGGTTTTGGCGCGGAATCGAGGCGGCGACGCTATTGACAAGCTGTCAGCTGAAGGGGTTACCTCTTAGCCAGGCACGGCACAGCTCGTGGCTCTCTGTAGCCAGCTGCGAATTTCTTCACGAACCAGCGCATCCCAACGATCCAAAGAAGGGGCGAGAATGCGCCTCCTCCTATTTCTCTGGTGTTTGCATCGGCTGCCGTCCCACCCCCATTTCCCTCTCCTCGGTTCAAGAAGATAGGGACGAGATAGTTTGTTTGAGGTTATTTGCCCTTGCTGGATTATCGACTATGTGGTGGTGGGGTGGGAAGGGAACGACGCCCTCATTGAACATCATCAAGCTGACTCGAGACTCGCCCTGGGAAGAACCCAGCCGCGGAAGAACGAGTGGAAGACCCGGCGGAGGTTTTTGTTTAGGGCGAGACCACATGTTGCACGACTCCCGAAAACAAGAGGGTCGGGCAGTGGAAACCCAAAAAACAGGATACAATATTTCGCTGTGTTGGCTGTGCCTGAAGATCTCAATCGAAGTTCGGGCACGTTTTGACGTCGTCTGATCCACCTGCACCTGGTATTCTGATGTCAGCGGTCATGGCATTCCCGTATCGACATGGAATGATCGGGGTGCATTGTCGAATTGTCGGGTCCTTTGGATTTCCGTCAACCCCATTGCTGTCGTCCAACCGAGGAGTTTCAAGGTCCCATCAATGCTCGGATGAACTGCCCGGCCCAGCAAGCTTCAGCTTCCAAAGGCTAAAAAGACGGCACAAGTCCAGGGAAAACCCCTATTTCCAATCAGCTTGCAGTACGTACCCAGTTCATCGCGTGTTGTCCATTTGGCGTCTTGTTTCCTTTTTTGATAAGCCTGGCTAAATGCCCCTTGCTTGTTCTCCAAGCTTGCACTAGCTGGTACCCAGTGTAAGCGGTGGATGGGAGCGTAAGGCAGGTGAGTAATGTACCTTTCAGTTGGCCGAAGCTCGCAGCAACAAGCAGACACGACGGCGAACACGATGGAGTCAACATTCGATGCGACTGACTAGCGACAAGAGATCTATCACTGCGGGAAACTCAAAAGAGATGAGTTCGCGGGTGTGCTGTTGCAGACACCCTTGATCCTGGGGTCCCATTCAGGTGGTATTTTCCGGGGATGCACTTATCAGTTGCTGTGTCGCTTTATCGGTCGTCGTCACGAGGTCGTTTTCGACCCTTCTTCCGGGGTCAATCGCATTGTAGGTAAGGCTTTGGCCGCTTTGCAGCTCTTGGTTTTCCAGGGGTCTTGCTGGTTTCTTGACGTCCTGTTGGCTCCCTTTGCAGCCTATTCGGACTTCGTCACAACTCGCGCCGGCTTAGTGCCAGGTGTGCCTGAGCCCTGTCTGCAGTCTCCTTGCAGGTGCAGCGCAGCGGTGCCTGAAGGACTCGTTTCTTCCCATTCGGCCGTCCGCCCTCCCTCCCCCCTCCAAAAGTGTATTGACGTGCACGCGTGGAGACCCTGTTCAAAGGAAGCGAACCTACGTCAAAAGGGGCAAAGGGTTGAAATTGCAACGCACAGTTGCTAGTACGGCCGTCAGTCGGGGCGGCGAGGGACCTTTCGACGGTGTCGTGTTGTCGCGCACTCACCGGGCTGCCGTTTCATTAAACCGCCAGCCCAAAGAGGTAAAATGTGCTTAGGAAGAGGCCTGTTCGTCATCTCCACAGAGCACACGGTCGTGGTCCACCCTCTCTATCGACCGCGACGACGTCGCAATAGCTCGGCCTGCTCCGGATCATGGTCCCCGTCACGGGCTTGTTTCCATTGCCTTTTGTTTCCCGTCCTCCTCGTCAGAAAAAGACTTGGCGACAATGTTTCCGTTGTCTTTCTTGTCCTCGACTCCTTGCCGTCCTCTCTTTTGTATCTGTTTCTGAAGGGATCAATATTCGGTCTCACCACTCTTTACGCCAGACAGACATCGCAAGCAAGGACTCACCACTCGTTTCTTTTCCATTCACACAAGCCCAACTCTCTCGTCCGCCCTCGCTCGACTTTGGCTGACCCAAAAACACCCCACCAGAGCTCTGCCCTGTCCATTGATCCGGCCAATTCGTCTTTTCCCGGGCTCCCACTTTGGGAAAGATATACTCTTTACCCCCTGAACCTGCAACGGATCAACTGTCTTGGGGTCGCGAATAAGGATCGTCGCCCTTGTCCATCGCCCAACGCATCCTCCACACTTTGCAAAACAGACTTGTCACCCGGGAAGACACGACATGGCCCATATGCAATAACCACGACCGCTCTTTTTCTTTCCACGACACTCTTTTGCTCGGTCGCATTTCACGCTCTTGCTGCTCGTCATCGGAGCTATTGACTGCTCCATCCACTCATTCCTCGAGCGACTTTGAACTGATCCTCCCCCCATTTTGTCTGGCTGGATTATCTTTGAAAAAAAAGTCTTGGGTCAGGCTGTCCGATTCCGGGATCAGGACCCATTCAGTGCATAGTTCTCATTTTGTACCCTCACTTTTGTGCAGTATGCCCCTCTGGACCCCTCTTTGTCGAGTAATTCGGCTGACGTTCGCAGGTTCTCGAGACAAATTACCGCAACCATGGTGTCGTTCTTGGGGATGAAATTTGGTGCGGATAAGAAAAAGTGCGCTCCTAATCATCTCGTCGCGGTACCGACGACTAATTCTTCGCAGGAAGGTTGAGAAAGCTCCGGAGCCGAGGCCCCAGCAGCAGCAGCAGCAGCGGAAGAGGATCGATCAGAACATGCTCGGCGAGGGTCAGTTTTTCGGAACCGACCTCAAACGTCCCGTTATGATCAATGGCTCCCGCCCTGGAACAGCAATGTCGAATAGAAGTTTCGCCAACATGCCAGACAATTTCATGCCCCCCAATGCACAAATGGCTGCCGGGGGCTCATCGCTGTATGGCTCGCGTCCTGGGACAGCCATGTCGAACAAGAACTTCGCCGCCGATTTCCGTCATCCAAATGCACCGTACTTGAATGGAGGTTCATCTTCGTTGGTCGATCTCAGTGCCCCGGGTGGCAAGGGTGGTATCCGTCCCATGGGATCTGAGAGCAACCTGAACAAGGGCTGGAAGAACGGTTCAGTGACGAACCTGAAAATCATGCCAACCCCACCCATCATCACCAGTGAGCCAGGAACCCCGAGCTCGCAAGGCCGCAAGGCCGGCTGGGTCCACCCTCTCGACGTACATTATGCTCGTGACGGTGCGCTCAGCCCGGCGGGCTCCGCAGGTGGCCCCCGGTCTCCCGGGTTCGCGCCCAGTCTCGCACCGAGTCTCGCGCCGAGCGCCGCGCCGAGTGTCTCAAATGCACCCCGAAGTCCTCTGGGCCAATTCGAGTTCAACTTGAACCCTGGAGACATACCGAAGCATGATGAACTGACACCAGCGCCCCTGTCGCCAGCCAAAGCGTACCCATCTCCTCCGCAATCGGTCAATGGGTCCCTACCCCCTATCAAGACCGATTTCAAGCCAAAGATTGCCGCTGTCAACACCACCCGTGACGCTTATAGGCCTGGACCGACTTCTTTGCCTTCTCCAACAGCATCGGCCGAGCGCACTAGTGAAGAAGAACGCCGATATCCTAGGCCCATCATTCAGAACGTCGCCGCGAAACGGGACACACTGACGTACCACTCACCAAGACGGCAGAGTTTTTCGATGGACATTGATGAAGACCCGACCAGTCTCAACTTTGGTGCCAAGCAGCCAAACGACTCCGCACCGACGGGCCCACCGCCGAGAAGCGCGCTTCGACCTTCGCCACCGGAGCTGAAGAGTCTGCCTCTTCTTCCGCTTAGAATTCAGGCGGCAAGAAGTCCGGGTTTGCCAAGCCCTGGCGCCCCGCCTCCGAGACCTCGCCAGGTTCCGTTCGAGGGCCCGTTGAGAAGCCCGGCTAGGCCTCCCGACGAATGGGTTAAGGCCAGAGAACGTATGGGCTCGGATGCAAGAGAGAATCCAAACTTTGAACCGAGGATGAGAACGAACTCTGATGCCCGTGGACGGACGTTGGAGCGCCGGGGGAGACAGGATTCGGATCCTCAAGAGATGGCCAGCCCAGAGACTCCTGCAACCAAGAACGATCGAAACGGCCAATCGCAGGGTTATATCGGGCCTCCGCCAGCTTCAAAACGGGTGGCGCCAGGAGAGGGGGAGCGCAATTACGGTATCACTCCAGCAAACCGACGACAACCTCCGCCTCCTGTCGAACTGGAACGCAAGGCATCAAACCCTCAGTTCAGGCAAGCAGGATGGGGCGATCGGGACGTACAGCATGGAAGTTTCGCCATGGTCTCTCCTCCAATGCAAGCATTGCAACAACCACCAACGCCGAGCAACTTGGTAGCTGAGCCTTCAGGTGATGCAAACTGGCCACTGCCGAGTCCCTTGGCAAGCCCGACATTCGGGACCAGTTCTGGAAGGAGACCATACACACCAACTGAGAGATCGGAGGGACAAATGAGCCCGGAATCAAGTGTTCCAGCGGGTCACTCCTCTCGGGAACCGAGATGGGATCAAAGAAGGCCTGAAATTGGCGATCAGAGACGGCCAGATTATGGAGACCACAGAAGGCCGGACTTTGGGCTGAGGGCGCCGACGGGAATTGCAGACGAGTTCCGAATTGGGTTTATTTAGGCGGGAGGTTCGGTCGGGAAGGACTTTGATCTGGAAAAAAAAACATTAGATGTCCGGATTCATGAAGATTGGGGAGGTATTTGACATGAACATACTGGGCAAGGACGACTGGGCATACCTTGGGAGGTACATGAACATGGCGATTGGGAAGGCGCAAAACATTCATACCTGATTTCTTTGAGTTTGGAAGGAGGTGAACAGAACAGAAAAGCACGACTGCCTCGTGTATGGTTCATAATTATTCGAATGAATTGTATCATCATTGGATTCTGGTTTTGGACAGTCCGGGTCCTGCGCTGGCAGGTGTGTCAGTTGCTCTTTCTTCGACATTGGATCGCAAAGTCACACTTTCCTAAATATTTTGATTCGTCAATCCATCCACCACGCTCCTTGCCACCTCGGGTGGTTAGAAACGGCCTCGAAAGCAGGAGCCATGTCACAGTGCCTTCCTCAGGTCAAGCTTGGAAGTAACATGGCCGGCTCGGTGAGGCATCGGCGGACATATCCCGGGCCCACATCATGAGTCAACCGCCAGGGCTCGCACCCTCCTGGCTCGGCCTACGATATGGGCCGTCTTTTCGCTGTCGACCTCCGAAGATCGGCGGACATAGCTCAGTTGGGAGAGCGTCAGACTGAAGTCAACTTCAATCACTTAATCTGAAGGTCGTGTGTTCAATCCACACTGGCCGCATCTTCCCTTTTGCTTTTTTCGCGACCGCTACTGACCTTTTGGGTCGCTTCATCTGACCGACGACCTTCCTTGGATTTCCTCCGGGGAAAAACCAGAAACAGTTGGCATACAAGATCGCCAATTGTGCCCAATTTTTTGCAGTTTGATCGCTCGTCCATCGTTTTTGTTGCTATTGTTGGATAGGTTCCACAAGGAGGATCGTCAAAAGTTGATGCGCTGCCAAGGGCATCTGCCGCTGACATCAATCAACTGTTTTCTTGCGCAGTCAAGACGTTGACATGCATCTGCGAACCTGTCGCTGAGAGTACCTAAAAAGAGCATGAAAGTATACTCTTTTGATTGACCTAGACGCATAGTCAATTCTCCCTCTTGCTTTTTGTATGTCACGGCAACTTTGGACGTGCCGAAATACTTCACACCATCACTCAAGACGCAAGCGCCAGCGCCCGACTTCTCGATAAAAGCTCTCCCCACAACCCGCCATTGCACCAAACGCCCATCGCCAACAGGTACCAGATGTTTGAGAACTCCCCCTTCCCGGACCCAACCTGCAGCAACTGCCATCTTGGCTCCAGCAAACAACATCACCACACCCGAAGTCCTTAACACGAGCCAAGAATTTACCGAAGTCGGACGCCCACCCCCGGTGTCACTGTGCACTCTCACCAGCCCACATTACGTGTAGATCGACCACGCAATCCGCCAGGCTCAGCCGTCACATCTCTAACCCGTCGAAACAAGCACCCAAGAAATAAAAGAAGAAATTGCGGGGAAAGGGGGGGCCGCCGGCTCAATCACCTTAAACCACCTCCCCGGGCCCGCCCCCGGCCACCGTGACACCGTCACAGCACCCGCCCAGTTCCCATCATCCCCTTCCCTTTCCGTGCTTCAGCAACCCCCGTCTTCCGCAGATCAAATTCTCCGGGCCGCGAGCCAAGGAACAATCCAAAACAGCCATCGCTGCAGGAACCAGGCTTGCGTGAGATGGAAAGCTCCAATTAAAAATTTAGCCATGAATTGAAGCTTAGTGACGGCCCCGGGAACGGGGGTGGGTGGATTGCAGTCTGCAGGAGCCGCCCGGCGCTCGTGAGCCAGGCACACCAAATAGCCTTGGGCTTTTTGTTTACCTTTTACATAATTCGATTGTTCGTCCCTGCGACTGAAAGTCATCCCATACTGGGGCTCTTGGCTCTGGGTCTCCATCCCGTCAGACGTCAATGCTCTGTTTGGGACGACATGCCATCTAAACTTCCAATGTTGCAAGTTGGGCGGCTGTGATGTAGCCCCCAAGACAGTTCCTCTCCCGGTTTTCGTCCGCCGAGAACTGGCATCTTGGCGTCCCTACTATTGCTGTTCGACATCGGCCGAGATGGTTTGGGGTGCGATCCAGGTGGCAAGGTCAAGCGAGAAGTGACCCTCCTCATTCTCCTATTCCCCCGGCTTCGGCTAGTGGTGGTCCCAAGAGCACACAGCACATAAAAGACCCAAGATGATCCGCCGTAAGATGGGCAGTTGATCTCCCATCCTCCTCATCCGCTTCATCCAGTCCTCCTCCTCTTCCCTTGTGTGTCTAACCATTCTTTCCAGTGCTGTGCACGCCCATCTTTTATTCCTTTCCAAGATTACAAGGTCGTTGACGATCATTTTTTCGTGCTCTTCATCTTCAATCTTTTCCCTGGGCAACTTTCACTAGTTCGTTTCCAGCAGTCAAAATGCGTTACACTACTCTCACTGTTCTGGCTCTTGCCCTCCTCACCGGCAATGCGTTGACGGGTAAGCCTTCAAGAGTCTGATGATCTGATCTGAAGGACGTTTTCACTCACGATTCTGGTTTAACAGCTCCTGCTCCTCAATTCGGCGGCGGCGGCCGTGGTGGCGGTGGCGGTGGTGCCGTTGGAGGTGCCGGCGGCTTTGGCGGCCGTGGAGGTGGTGGAGCCGGCGGAGCTGGTGGTGCCGGAGCTGGTGGTGCTGGAGCTGCCGGTGCCGGCGGCGCAGGAGCCGCTGGTGCTGGCGGTGGTGGCCGAGGCCGAGGCGGCAACGGCGGAGCCAACGCAGCCGGCGGCGGCGGCAACAACGGAGGCAATGCCAATGCCAATGGCGGTAACAACGGAGGCAATGCCAATGCCAATGGCGGCAACAATGGAGGCAATGCCAACGCCAATGGCGGAAACAACGGCAACAATGGCAACAACGCCAATGCAGGAAACAACGGTGGAAACGGCAACAATGCTAATGCCAACGGAGGCAACAACAACAACAACGCCAACAATGGAAACAACAACAACAATAACAACAATGCGAACAACGGCAACAACAACGCCAACAATGGAAACAACAACAACAACAACGGAGGTAACGACCAAGCCACCGATGCCGCTGCCGCCGCCGACAACGAGGGCCTGGCTTGCACCGACGGATCCGGAGCCGGTTCCTGTGAAGCTGACGGACAATGCACCGTCAATGGCACCACTGCCATCATCGAGGGACAGTGTGGTCAGTAAGCTAGCATCGACGTCGCTTCCCGCTAGGTGGGATGTTGAAATCCCAAGAAAATGGGCTCCCCAGGAAAAGAATTCCCACTTTGAGAGTATTCTCTCAGTGTTGCATGTTGTTTTGTTTTCCACCTAATATAAGTAACCCTAATTGACGATGAATGACTACTAAGGTCTTGTGTCAATGTGATTGTTGGGCGTTGAGGGCGTTCTTTGACTCAGTTGAAGTTGTGACGAAGCCAGTCTGGGCTGCTTGGTTTCTCCCGATGATACTGAATCAGCGCTCGTTGTTCTGACTGGACACTGTGAACAACTGCTGTCTACAGGCCACTGTTTCGATCACAATGACACTCACTGTTTCCACGCCCTCGGCATATAAATTTTCGCTGTTCTGCAATGCTGCGTACTTCGTCAACGAACTCTACAACTGTCCCACCCACCATACACATAACTTACATCAACCAAGTCCATCGAACTCACCCACAGCCATGTGTAAACTCCTCGTCCAGTGGCACTTCTGCCCAAAGTGCCGCGTAGTTGACGACAGACAGCGCCATCTTCCCGAGACCTACAAATGTGCGGCGAAGGAAAGTTTCGACAGAAGCTTCCGCAGAGTACCCCCTCGATTGTTCGACTATTGCCCCGCCGGCCGCCGGTACGAATTCCAATACTCGCCTGGACAGGAGTGCCACGAATGTTGGGTTGCAACCTTGACCATTACACGGGGCCTCGACATGCCATGCCATCAGCCCCAGCAACAGCAGCATCAGGCCTCACGAACTGACCGCCAAACTAATCTAACGCTCACTCGTTCACAAGGCCCTTTTTATGAAGTACCGCTGACCCCTGAGCTTCAGAATGCCGTGCCCACAGGTCATGCAGGTCGTGCAAGTGGCTCGACACCCGCCGTTGGGCCCCTGGAGGAGGATCCGCTCTATCATGTCGTTGGCGAGTATGTCCAAAGATTTCTCAGCGATGGATTTAGATTCGGCATGCCTAGCTGGTATAGACCTTGACAGTCTGGAGTCTCGAGAGACAACAGCTACTGGTTCGTCTGTTGGGAGCTCTTTCAATATACTTTGCGCTTGTACATACGACTTTGTGTTCTTTGTGTGTGGGATCAAGAGTGTTTTTCCATTCGGAAACTTGAGCCCGTATCTAGAGGAAAATTAGGATCTGTTGTCCTTCGTATGCCCCTCGCTGACCTTGTGTCATTAATCGCCTGTGGACATTAAATTTGCGTTATTTTCAACAAAGCTAAATACCAAACGCTTATAGGCATTATTTACGTCAAGGTTCTACTATGATTAAAACATGATGGCCATATCTCCTATAATTTGTGGCCTAAGACTTTCTAAAGAATGTTGCGAATCAATTACCAAGATTTAGATGTTCCACGGCCGGGGACTTTTCACTGAAGTCTCGAGCCTTCTCTCAACCAAAATTCTCAAGCTTTCATGTTCAAAAGTGAGCCAGAGTACTAAAACAAGAAGAACTCATATGTTGAAAACAGAAGAAACTATGATTGGAGAAAACCAGCCTAAGACACGTGTTTTCCTAGGTTGGAAACTCTCACAACGTAATCCTGGGACACTTTGAGGCGATCAATAATCTAGACATATTCACATGTACTTCACTGTCATGCCTCGGAACAACACATCGTTATCAAGATGCCAAATCCCAATTTTCAAGTAAGAGTGTCGCAAACGAGTACACATCCAGTAAGTCAATCGGGAGAAGTTGCAGACTTCAGATATCCAGTCTGATCACCTGCCAAACCTTACGCTACACACCTACAACCTGCCAGGCAAACCAAGAAACCACGAAACAGAACCCGTCGACACCAACACAGAATTGCGTGCAGAGTCGATGGTGGTTGCGTTCATCCCGCTTGCCGCTCTGCCAACACGTCAAAAGGCCTGACAAGAGTGAGGTTCCGCCCGCAGATACGAAACCGAACCCGATGCAGCCAGGGATGCCCCCGCCGTATTCGTGTCTTCTTGACTGGGAGACTGCAGCGATAGCCAGGGGCATCGAGAAGATCACCCGAAACTTTACCCCGGGAAATGCAGCGCTTGGCTACATCGCGCGGGCGCGGGGGTGCGCTGCGGCGGCTCATATGAGCGGTGACGGCTTCGGGTGGGATGAAGATTAAGGAATAATACACCTCTTGCGTGGCCCACACGCGTATTCGGCATGGAGGGATTCATCACCAATCCTGCAATAGATACATTCAGTATGGTCTTGTAGACAGCATACTACTTGGTTTCCCGACGGAAAATCTGCAGTCGGCACCTTGAAAATACCTAATCTGTCGACTTGAACACCAACGAGCCAACCACAGCGAAACCAAGCCATTCCCGTGCCGCGCTCGGGATGCTAGGGCGCAGCTTCAAGCAAACTCCATCCAACAAACGGCTCCTGCCGGCCGCCGATCGGGAGTTAAACGCACCGAGGCCCAGCTTGTGCTAGGTAAAGAAAGGAAAGAGAAAGATTCACCCCCAAAACATCGTCAAACCCGAATACGATTCCACCTAAATAGGTTCAGGACGATAAACCCACGAAGCACGTCAACAGCGCCACCAATGGAGAGTGCCATCATTCCCCGCAACGACGCCGCCCCGCAACTTTTTTAGCCCCTCCTCGACTGCGTTTGCCCCTCGTGCCATCGAACAGGTCCACCGGCCTTACTTAAGAGATTCCAGAGCCTTCATGACTTTCCTCTCGCATGACCTCACCGTGAACCACCAGCCTCTCACTCACTCACTCGCGCTAGCCAAGTCTCTCCCGGTCTCTCCTTTCAAAGCCCGAAACTCTCAACCTTAAGCCAACTACACACATACACACACATACACACACATACACACGCACAATCCACCATGCCCACTCACACCGGCACCACCGTCATCGTGACCGGCTCCGGAGGCGGCCTCGGCAAGTCCATCGCCGAAGCCTACCTCGCCGCCGGCGCCAACGTCGTCATCTCCGACATCAACCAGGCCCGCATCGACGCCGTCGCCGCCGAGTACCGCGACACCTACGCCGGCCGCCTGCACGCCATCGCCGTCGACGTCACCTCCGAAGCCTCGGTCGCCGCCCTCGTCCAGGGCGCCGTCGACCGCTTCGGCCGCCTCGACGTCCTCGTCAACAACGCCGGCGTCATGGACAAGTTCGACCCCGCCGGCGAGTGCGCAAAGGACACATGGGACTCCGTCCTCGCCGTCAACCTCACGGGGCCCTTCCTCACCACAAAGGCCGCCGTCAACCAGTTCCTCGCCCAGGGCGCCACCTCCGCGTCCGGCGGGCCCCCCGGCCTCATCATCAACATCGGCTCCAACGCCAGCTTCCGCGGCCTGTGCTCCGGCGTCGCCTACACCGCCTCCAAGCACGGCCTCATCGCCGTCACCAAGAACACCGCCGGCTTCTACGGCGACAAGGGCATCTACTCCATCGCCTTGCTGCTCGGCGGCATGGACACCACCAACATCATGGACGCCTTCGCGACGGGCGTCAACCAGGAGGGCATGATGAAGACGGTCGCCGCGCAGCCCGAGTACAAGCGCGGCGAGACGGGCCTGGACCCCGCTGCTGTGGCCAAGTACTGCATCTTCTTGACTGACAAGGATATTGCGTCGTCGGCCAACGGTAGCTGTATCACGTTCAACAAGAACTGGCCGTACGCGTAAAGGGCGGTGTTGTTTTGGGGGGAAATGGGGCCTGGGGCATGGGGCAAGGGGCGTACACGGCACAACGTCGAGAGAAGTTCAAAATTCGGCGCATCGATTACTTGATAAAAGATTATGAATATTATGAGTTTTGATACCACTCATCAGTCATCGCACCAATCCTCTGGCAATGTAAGCTCAGGTCGAGTGTCTTGGCACGAGGATCCAAACGTACGCAAGCGAGCTATCGCTTGCTTCACTTTTGATTACCAAGGATGAACGAAGCCTTGGATTGGCTGTCAAGTGATGATATTGCCACTGATTTGAGATTCTGCGTTGATGGGGGACGGACAGGCTCGTCACATCAGGGCTTTTCCTGGCCATCAAGGTGCAGCAGCCATCTCAAACTCACTCTTATTATTCAGGACTCTCACCTCATTCTAGAACAAGCGCAATTGAGCAAGACCATAAAAAAGGTGTGCGCACTACGCAAACTAATCGATTGAATGAACGAATGATGTCAAAATGGCAAAAGATAATGAAGATGCGGCCAGTGTGGATTGAACACACGACCTTCAGATTAAGTGAATGAAGTTAACTTCAGTCTGACGCTCTCCCAACTGAGCTATGTCCGCCACGATCTTCGTTGGAGAACAGGCCAAATTTTGACCACTAAGAAGCGTGAGTGGAGTCAGGACTTCACTCCACCCAGCTCTGGCTCATGACCCATGCTTGTGTGAAGCTGGTTCATTTCTTTCCATCAGCATTCAGTACGAGGGCGTTATTTGTTGTTATTCTGAACCTTGAGGAAGCCTCTAGTAGTGACGGCCAAAAGCCGATTTCTGATAAGCTGTGCGGAATTCGCGCCAGGAAAGAAGTCTACTCTCCTATTTGAGCTAGTCGAATCATCTAAATCAGAGCGGAAGAAAGTTCCTTATGTGGAAGTATGAATTGTGTAACTGTTATCTTGGAAAGAGTTTCTAACGGTCCCCTCCCTGGTGCTATGTGCAAATTCGCATGTCCACACCTACTTGTGCCCGTCTCCTAATAACCTCTCAATTCCTTATGATCGTAATTCGTGAAACTTGTGCCCAAGCCGTCGCCCCTCTCGTAACTTCGTGAGCTCATTAATATGAAAAGTTCCTCACCAACATTGCCAAACCACGCTACCCTCCATCTCGCACGAGACCAACCCTCCGATCTCTGTCAATGCCCAGCTGCTTCCCTTCCACTCCCAGCAGCATCTTCTCCTCGACAAAAGCAGGATCGCTCCTCCTGAACTTCTCCTTCATATCCTTCACCGACGGGCGTATGGCCACGGGCAAAGGATCGTCCGGCCACAGTATCCGCTGGACCTCCTCATCGCTCATCCTCTCGGTCGTCAAGTCGCCGCAGGTCATAGACCTCTGATGGAAAGGCGGCGCCGAGGCCGCGGCCTTCCGCACCTTCTCCATCTCGTCCGCCCGGACCCCGAGGACCTCTACCCCCCTGACCAACTCATCCACCTCGTCCTCCATGCCCAACCCTCCGAAGCCCAGCACCAGATCATCGACCCCATCACGTTCCCGTGCGCGTCCGTCGACGATCGTCGCAGCCTCTGCCTCGGCTTCAGCCTCCCGTTCCACCTTCAGTGGGTCACCTTCTCCCTTCATCGCCTTCTGCTCTCCGCCTCCAATGACATCCATGCTAGTCAGCTTCATCAATGTCTTCCTCCGATGCGCCTTGACGAACCTCCTCATCAACAACCCTTCGTTCTCCTTGAATACCCGATAAAACGCCCTGTCAGCCAGAGCGGCAGCATGTAAGTCATCCACGCTCTCCATACCCCTCAGGATCCTCAACCTCACATCATCCGTGACACCAGACTGACCCCTCGCCTCCTCCGCCTCCCGGTCTTCCTCCACCCGCCTCAGCTCCTCGGGCCTATTCACCTCCCCAACCACCTTCAGCCCTCTCTGCAGAACAGCCTGCACCTCCCCGGACCGATGCCTACTCAATCCCCATCCGTGGGCCCGTCCACTGACCTCAAACAATGTCAGCCCAGAGACACTGTTGTATACATCGCTAACAGCGGCTCTCAGCCTTGATGCCGGGTCACACAGACCTCCCCGATGAATAGCCTGCGGTGGGCTCTCAACGGGCCTCAACAGCTCGACGAGCTCCGCCAGACTTCTGTCCGGCCGCTTCGCATCCCCAAGAACACCCTCCTTCATGACCGTCCCCAACAGCCCCAGCTCGCCGAACACAAGCATCAACCACCCCAGGTTTATCGCATCACACGCCTGACTGCCCCTGGGACACCTCGTCCACCCTTTCAACACCGCCGAACCCCTCTCCCTATCACCGTTCACGCCTCCCTTCAAACCCCCGTTCTCCTCCTCGCCACCACCTACAGGACCTCTCAAGTACTCCCTCAAAGCCTCCCTACACACCCCCTCAACCTGTCCCATCTTCACCTCCCTCACCCCCCAAACCCTCTCCTTCACCCTCTCAGGCCACCTCTTCGCCCTCAACTCCTCCTCACTCCTCAAATTCAACACCGCCGTCTTGCTCATCCGCGCAAACAGCTGCCGGAACCCAAACACGAAACTAACCACCAGCATCCCGTCCGGCATCTCCTCGCTGCCCATGTGGATCCACCGCGGCAGCCACCGGTGCTCGACCACCAGCTCCAGCGGGCTCGTACACCGGTACCGCAGACACGCCTCCGCCACCGCCACGAACCGCGCGAAGCTCACCTCCCGCGGCACCGCCTCGTTGCGCATGTGCGCCGCCGCAAGCAGAATCCCCAGCGCCCCTTCCTCGTCCCGCTCCGCCTGCGGCATCCGGTACAGCCGCGCCACGCTCCCGTCCCCACACACGAACCCCTCCGTCGGCGGCAGCGGCGGCAGCTCCCCCTCCAGGTCCGCGTCGTCCTTGCCCCAGCCCGGGCCGACCTCCAACCGCCTCCGCCCCGTGAACATCCGCTCAAAGATGGGCGACGTCTCCGCCAGCATCGCGCTCGACACCCGGAACCTCCTCACCTCCCCTCCGCTGTTGAACTCCAGCACAGCGTCCCCGGCCGCCGAGATCACCACCTCCTCAACCTCTCCCGCCCTCCCGTCCTCGAACCCGCAGCCGGCCTCCTCGCTCTGCAACACCCTCGCAATCTCAATGGCCTCTTTCTCCATGCGGTCCAGGTTCCGAAACCGCACGTCGTACTTCGCCCTCGAAAACCCCCCGCCGCCGCCGCCGCCGTCAATCCTCGCCCTCCGCATCTCCTGAATCGCAGACGCCCGAAAGTCAACGTCCCTAAACAACGACTCCGTCATCTCCGCCGTGGCCCCGGGCTCATGACTACGATACGTCGCCGCCAGCGACGCCCGCAGCGCGCCCATCACTGCCTCCATGCACGTCTTCCACTCCCGGATCGCAGCCAAACACGCCTCGCGGCTTGGCGCCGCCTCCGAATGCTCCTCTCCCTCATCCGGCTCCACGTTCCAAGACAGAGCCAGATTCCTCCTGCTGAGCGGTGACCGCGGATCGACAACCGCCCGGTCCGCAGAGGACGACGTCCGCCGCCGCCGCCGCCTCAACAAAGACCGGCAGAGCTCCGCGTGCTCCTTGACCTTGGCGTACTCCCTGAACGCAGCATCACACCCCCTCTCGTCGAGCGTCGAGCCGACACATCGTGTAAGCTCCTGGATCTGTCTCCAATTGGCCTTCAACTCGGCGACAGTAATCCCAGAGTCGGAGGCGGCGTGAGCGTGGTCGTCGTCGTCGTCGTTGCCGAGGTGTGGTGAGCGCGCCCCATTGAACGAAGCCTCATTGAACGACCCGCTGGAAGCACTGCTGTGGCTGCGGTAGTGCTGCTGGTGCCCTGCAGAAGCCATCGCCGGCATGAAATCTTGATGAGAGGAAATGCTGCGCAGTCGGGGGTTGAAATCATCGAGAAAACGATGGTGGGGGTTGTTGGTCTTTAGCGGTCTGCCGTTCTACTTGGTAGCTCCCCTCATCCCCGGGACTAAGCACCGGACTCTAGCGCATCCTTCCGGCACGGTCTAATCACATACGCGCGCCCTCTCTTTCTCTCTCTGTGTCTGGGAGAAAAAGTGGAAATGAGGAGTCAAGCTCGCTGCTCTTATTTCTCGATTTTTGATTTTGGTTTTGAGAAACTTTTCGTTTTTTTCTTCTTCATTGAATCAAGTCCTTCTATTTTAGTGAACGTTAATGACTTTTAGGAAGAGACAACTTGGCTTATATCAACAGCTATCCTGCCATTTGACATTTCTCGATATTTCAGAAATCAAAATTCAACAATTCATTCAAGCTGACTTGCAAACTGCCCCCCTTCCCCCCTTCCTACTAAATCCCGTCCCCATCATACAAACACATCCTCACCCACAAAAGCCGCTGGATCCCAAGGGAACGGCTCCCACTCGGCTTCCAACACCAGACAGTCGCAGCGAAACAGACGGACATCAGATTGTGTTTCATGGGCTGCAGCCGACAGCGCGCTCCCGCCTCCTGGGCCGCCAGGCACCTGCTGCCGAAAATACGAGACGTTTTGGGGGCCGTCGGATCTGGCTGTGTCAAGCAGGGATCGGTCACCGAGCACACACTGTACGGCACATAAGGTATCTATCTGTACAGGGCCAGCCGGTGTAAGGCTGAGGATGGGACCTGGGGAAACACGTCCGGATGACGTAATTTCGAGACTGACTGGCAGGTGCGCCCTGAGCTCTTTGGGAGTACAAACGACACGGCACCAACCACCTCGTGATGGCTTCGTGTGCTTCTTTTGTGGGACCTTAATCTTGATTCGACGTCAAGAATACGAGGCACTGATGAAGATCTGCCGCATGAGTCGCCCCCTGCTGGTGTCCTACAGAAATCCTCGTCGTGGCTTTTTCAAATCATGTCTTTTAACGCTTCCCGTCTATCTGCTTACACTGACACTAGTCGTTGATATCTTTTTCCGCCCCTATAATGCGGCCATGCTGGATTTTTCTCCATTCTGCCCCTTTCTGGGAGACATGAGCTCAGCCTTCCCCCGTCGGGTATTTGCGACAGTCTCCAGTCGTCTGGGAACACACAGCATTCGTACTATCCACGTCCACCCCCCTCTTCTCTTGCATCTTCTTCATGTACCTTTCCACCCAATGGTATGACTCTGTGACAAAAAGAAACTTGATGAAGCATGCCTGAACCGTAACCCATACCGAAGACCGTTGCCGCAGATGCAATGAGACAAATAATCAGACCCGCCACCCAGGTATAACGCGAAAGACCCCCCTGCAACCTTTTCATCGGTGAAAATGACGACTGAGCCATAGTAATACGACTTTTGACGCTCGATCAAGCACTGCACAATCCCTTGAGATGCACTGGCCCGCTGATATCCGTAACTTTTGCTGGTTCCGTTCCGCTCGTCCTCGATGATCGTAGTCGCCATCAGGCCTGTCCCGGTGCTGATGATCGAGGCTGCGGAAGGCGCTTTTTACAGCACCTCTCCATCCTCGCGGCTCGTTCAACGCAGCGGTTGCCTGTTGACACTTCCCCGCTGGCTTTTCTGCCAGGGAACATTCCCTCAATCCAGAACATTCGTGTCCAACGCGTCCATGACCAAAGTCGCCGAGTGAGCTCCTCCTGACTTTCAGACCATATCCAACGAAGCAATGCTTGCTTTTTTCGTCACCCATTGGCTTCCCACGACAAAGTTTGCTCGTGAGCTGCCAGCTTATCCATTTCTTTAGCCACCCTTACGATCTGCGTCATGCTTGGGCGGCAGCTCGCTGGAGACAAATCCGTTGCCTTGGTTCTTCCCATCGCCCTTTTTTCGACCCTTGGTGGCTTTTTGCCATCCTCCGTCGTGACCATGGCCATCGTTCTTGCCGCCACGATGGCCGTACTCCCGGTTGCCGTTTGTTCTTGCGGGCTGACCCGGTAGGCGCTGCGCGTTTGACGACTGAGACTTTGGCGATTGCGTCGATTGACTTTGCTTGGCCTCCTTCACAACCTGACCCTTGTCTTTGTGAGCCGGCAGGATCGACTCTGCGTGGCCACTTTGCAGATCACTCTTCACTTGAAAGTCGCCTTTCCTCACGACTGTCGGAGAAGGCGAACGTGTCTCGTTAATGGGTGAGAGATGTTGAGCATCAATGCTAAGTTGGTGGCCGTTCATCCTGTTCTCCCTGGTCGCCAGATCGAGCGGTGCTATCACCCCACTTTGCTGCCGCATAGCCCTTCGCTGCAGGGAAATTTGGTTTCCAACGGGAACCTCCGGCGACGCCTGAGCTTGCTGTGACCACCCATACTGATTCATCAAGGCGATTCTGTCGCGAAACGAAGGGTCGTCGACAGGTCGAGGCGCTGAAGCAGGCGAGGCCGTGGCAGCAGTGTTGCTGATCGATGAGGGTGTGGTCGTGCCGTTGACAATCACTGGGGGACGCTCTGAAATAGGTGTCCTCACAGGCTCAGACCGAAACGAAGACTGACCATCAACCTGGTCCGTAGTAAAACCGCTAATTCCTAAGCCTTGAGCTTGGAGTGGGGTTTCCTGAGACGATCTAGATGAGTCTTCGGCCGGCGTCGCATCGGGTACTGGGGCTGACTGGAAGGGAGTAGAGCTCGTGCGTAGAGAAGAGCCCGTCCCGTTGACCACCAACGGTCTTGCTGCTGTCCGTCCATTAACGATGGGAGGAGTTGATGACTGCCCGTTCGCGGCTGACGTGCTCGTTGAAAAGGTTCGAGTATGGCCCAGAGGGGACGGTGAGCGTGACGTTCTTCGCATCCGGCGGTCCAATATGGTCTGCGGGACTTCAGTCGAAAGTCTTCGGCGCCCTTGACTTGGCTGTGAAAGTTCTCCCAAGGCGAGCGTATTGGGAGCACCTTGAGAGCGGGCTGGACTGGATGCTTCTGAAACGTAGTAGCCCAAGTACGCAGCTCCATCTTCGGAGTTTGGTGAGTTGCTTGCAGGCCGTTGAGGCGCCTCGTCGTAATCAGCGTCGTCAGGGATGAAGCTCGGGATCGGAACTCCATTGACCTGGCGGGGCGGATGCGAGCTTCCATTCGTTGGCGTGCTGGAGCCAGGGTAGCCTTGCGCCTGTTGTCCTGCTGGGCCAGACCGCGAAGCAGGCTGCGATTGAGACCTAAGCGAGCTTCCCGACGTCGAGTTGCCGGATTCCGTTGTCACTGAAGACCTTTGCAGTCCTCGACGGTACTCCGGTGTCGCCGTGGTTGTTGCAGGTGAGGATGGGTACGTGAATCCAGACTGGTTGTAGTAGGTAGCGGGGAAGGGAACACCACCATACATGCTGTACCATTCAGGAACAGCGATGGGAGCACTTAGGGGAGGGTTGTCGAACGAGTTGGTCCTAGATCGCTGGGAGCCCTGCTGCGAGTTTGCGTTGGAGCTTTGCATTCTCTGTGCGGCATGCATTTGAGCAGCCATCTGGGCTTGCACTTGCTGGTATACCTGGGACTGGCTGTAGAGCTGGATGCGAAGGTTATTTTCCTGCTGTAATTGGGCGGCCATGGCTGCACTCACAAGCGCGGGGTACTGAAGCTGGTGAGCTGACGGCTGTTGTGTGAACCAGGCGAGCTCCTGCGGTGTGACTGCTACTTGCGGCATGTACATTGTGTTAGTATCATAGGCAACGCTCGACGACGCTCTCCGGTTGGAGTTTCCGTTGCGGTGGAAGTTGTTAGAATGACGACCGCCACGGTAGTTGCCGCGGCCACCTCCTCTGCCAGAATGCTGCTGCGAAGAACTGCGAATCATGACCGGACGTGAAGTCTGCGCGGGCCTTTGGAACGTCGGCGGCTCCTCCTTGGGGTAAATGTACTGCTCGCAACACTCATCCAGTTTGGCTTCCGAGATCAGATCAAATGCTCGTCGCAACTCGAGATGAAGGCCGCGGAAAGAATATTCATCTGCAGTGTTGCCCAGGTTGCGAACGGTGTTGAATGGTTCCTCCACACACAGGAAGTTGTTCAGACCAATATGCCATCCCTTCTCCTGTTTCGACACTTTCCTACCAAGGCGGACCGAGATGGCATTCTTCTCGTAGTCGAACTCGTGCGCATAAAACCTGAAGAATTGAAACAAAAGGTCACCCAAAGAAGATTTGTTCTTGTCGCCAAACCCACGAAGCTTGTCAAGGTCATCGGCAAACGCGCTCTCCGGCCCACCCTTCTTAGGGAGCCTTTGGTGTTGTCGCTGGTGCAGTGACGGAAGGACTGGCGGGTCGCGGAGTTGCAGGAATCCGATGATCAGGCAAATCCACGTGTAGGAACTGAGTGTGCCGCCGAAGGCTATTTCGATCAGTAGGGGCGCATTGAAGCAGTAGCAGACAAGTCATACCGGCGTCATTCACGATCCTCTTCCGTGTCCAGTACTTGACAATCATCGCCAGTGGCCTCACTCGTGGGTCGATCTCGACATAAGTGCGCACCATTCGCGTGTTCTCCAAAGCCAGAGTGTTGTTCACGTTCATGTCGCATGCGAGGCCGAGTTCGGGGTCCCAGATTTTGACAATCGGGACTTTCGCGGCGGAAATACAGACCACCTTCTCCATGCCCTCTGCAGAGACGATTAGAAATGACTGGGGAATCATGGACGGAGTAGCTTACTCTTTGCGAGGAGGTTCGCAATCATGCAAACGCCCTCCATCTCCTTCCATGGTGTCGTGATGCAAATGTCGACTGCATCCGGGTCAGTATTGAAGTCTGAATGGGTGTGAGTGGAAATGATCAGAAATATACGAACCATCGGAGTCATCAGAGCAAAGCAGGTTACCCGACGAACCAAAGAGATTGACGCGGATGTCATTTCCCGGCCACTCCTCGTTGAAGATTTTCTCCAATTTGACGACAAGCTTTTTGCGATTCTCCTCAACCTTCTCAGTCGGTATTAACCTGTCGTAGAGCTCGCGCATATCTGTGGTCAACTTCCTTTCTTCATCTTCCGACAGCTTGCTCTTGATTTTCTCAAGGTTCGTCTTTTCGAGCTTGTCGCTCCCTAAACTATAGGGCATTCTCCTTCTCGAGTTTACCTGCGCCGTCTCATATTGGCAACCGCCCAAACGAGGAGGGAGGGGTCGTAATGAGGGAAGATTGCTATTCGTTTCGGAGTAAGCAGAGCGGGGTGAGTGGTTATTTGTTGCGGTAGGCGATGGCTCGCGCGACTCGAACGAGAAGTTCCTAGCATGTTGTTGAGGCGTGGATGGCATCGAGTTGGAGTGGGATTGGCCATTGGTAGGGCGCGCCCCAGGGCGAGCGGGCAGAGGATGCGAAAGCTCCGGCTGAGATGGCTGCTGCATCTTGGGCGGAGCGTCCTTGCCTGTTATGACAGCACGATCGCCTTTGTCTTTGCTCTGCACAACTCTATTCCCATGGCCTCCTTGGGTGCCTTTTGTTGCGGGTTGGTCCTTGTTCGACACCTTGGAGGAGGATCGAGAACGGGGGGCCGCCTGAATGTGAGGAGCCGCCACTGTCGCCTGAGGAAGCGGTTGTGGTTGTTGCAAGCCGCCTCCTCGTCCCGGAGAGACGAGATTGGTGTAGTGCAGCAACTGCGCTTGGTAGACAGATGCTTGCTGAGGGAAAAGAAGGGGCCAGAAATCGACCTGGGCGGGGACGCGGGACGAGGCGTCGACGAAGTGGCAAGGGTTCAGCGTTGCGCTACTCGAGGATATCGCAGGCTGGTGCAGCCAAGGACTTGACGGATAAGTATGCTTCGATTCTGCGGTTGTCGCCCGACTTTCCATGGAGCGAGTCCTGGCTCAGCTTCCGTGACGAGGGCGAGTCGGCGGTGGCAGAAGCGGAAGCAGGGCGTCGGAAATTCGATCAAGACGTCGTGTCAACCGAGTCGTCGCGAGCGGATTGGGGCGAGAGTAGGTACAGGGCGAAGTAGCGAGGGTGGCGGGTGGTCAAGACACAGTCGAGGAGGTAGACACGGCTCAGCGTGGTCGAATCTCGCTCCAGTGGTGGCAGACGAGGGGGTGGAAGGTTGAGAGTTTCGGGGTTTGGGCAAATGTGGCTGGCACAAGTAGAATGCTGCTAGCGGCGTGCAAAGGAGTCGACACTATGCATTAATATGTGCGGGGGACGGTGTATTCGACTCGACAAAGTTGTGTGGTGTTTTGTTGGAGAGGAAGGACTCTTCGCGGTGCGGCGGGCGGTCCTCTGAAGAGGAAGAGAGAGAATGTCGTCGGTAGGAGGCGAAAGGATGGGTGTGGAGTTTAGATCGGGGACGTTGGCCCAAAAGCGACAGGACTGGACGGGGGGTGCCTCGGGCGGTGGACCACGAAATAACGATGGGGGGAAAGGGTCTAAAGGGGGTGCACCGCGAGCCGACACGGTCTGCTGCTGCTGCTGCTGTTGCTGCTCGCTCTGCCGCGCTGATCTTCAGTCTCCCACGTCCTCTTGTTCTAGGGGGCGGTACGAGGCGGAGTTGCTGGTCTGTCGAGGACACGAGTAGCAACAGGAAAAGAGGATGCAAGAGTGAGGCCGAATTTCAGAAAAGTGAGAGAACTGAATGATGTTCCCGGAAGAGAGAAGAGAGGTGGAAGGGGAGCGTTTCGTTTGGGGGTGCAAGGAAGGTGCATAGAGAGAGACACAGAGAGACACTCTCAGCATGTAATGCCTACTAGTACGCAGTACCTGCGCAGTCTGGTAAGGTCATGTACCTCATGGACAAGTAGCTGGGGCTTTGGGGGTGTGGTGGATGTACCTTCACCTCGTCACCACCGGGGGGAGGGGAGGGGAGGGGAGAGGAGAGCAGAGAGAGGTACGGCAAGGGTGGTGGCAGTATTCTGAACGGGCAGAAGAGGAGGAGAGGACGTGGGACCGGTGCAAATGGACGTGTACCGCCGTAGAGTGCGTGCGGGACTGGGCAGGCGGCGTGGAAGGGGAACGGATGTATCTTGTGTCCCAGCTAGGGCTGGGAGGTACTTCTGTCTGGCTGGTTGGCTGAGAAGGAAAGAGTAATTATTGGGTAAAGTACCTAGGGAAGGTGCGGATAGGTGAGGTAAGGTAGGGGCAGGTAAGTACCTTAGGTAGGGGAAGGTCAAGTCAGGTTAGGTCAGCACGGTCAGGTACCTGCCAACGGCGCCTTGGGTGCCGGTTGGATCACGGCAAGGCTGCTAAAGGAGACGGGAGGAGGGCAGATGCTAGCCTCTGATGGCTGATGGCTGTCGTGTCGTACCGTGTGTCGTATCGAGGACTCCCGTCGTTCGTGGGGGAGCTGAGAGCGCGCCTTCTGATGAGGTCAAGAGTGATGCTCGTGGCTTTGAAAGCCGAGAGCGGATAGCGGGGGCCCTGCAGGAAGGGCAGGCAAGCAATAGAGCAGCAAACAAGCGAAGAAGCAGACAGACATCACACACACGCATCCCATCCCTCAGGACATGGTCGTCACGCAGGCAAGGTACGGCGCGATGCAGCGCAGCAGGCGGTTCGTGGTCCGCAGCAACTAAGGTACCTTGAGCACTTTCCGCACATCAACTCCCCTCAGTCACCTCGCCGATGCAGTCACATCTGCAGCAATGTGCTCGCCGCATCTACGCCGTACTCGCCGCACGGATACATTTGCTCGACCATCCGAAGTAAAGCGTTGGGTTGGTAGGTGTTTGGCTGGCCTCGTCCGGGGCCTTTTCTGCCCTGATGCGTGGTTGGATAGGAAATAAGGTAGGGCAGGTACAGCAACTCAAAGTAGATACCTCCTTTCAAGTACCTGCAACGGGGGACTGGTACCTGCACTGCACCACCTGCCCATGTCCCGTCTGCGCGCACAATCAGAAAGTCGAGATTATCCAAGAAGGAAATAGGAGAGGAAGCAAGGCAAGGTACGAATGAACAGGCAAGGGCACACACGGCAGGGCGGCAGGGCGGCAGGGCGGCAACAGCTCGACAGAAGGAGTAACAGCAACAACGGCCGGCTCAGCCAAAGGCAACTGTAGCGCAGCAATAGCCAACTGACCGGACCTCACCCGCAAGACAGCGCCAACCAACCGCGACCTGAGATATTAGATGAGGACCGAGTACCTCGGGATGGAGGTAGGCATTTACAACAGGCGCGGGGCGTGAGATGATTCAGACACAATAAGCCAGACTTGCCAAAGTCAAAGTCAGCCTGCAGTTGTCACGACCAACAAACGAGCTGGCTGAGGCCCAAGCAGGCAGGGCAACGCCGTGAAAGCCGCGCAGCAGAGAAAAGAAAGGCAAAGGCGGATGAACAACGGGTTGGGCTTGTGTCCCGTTCCATTCGAATATGGAAGGAAGGAAGGAAGGAAGGAACCTCAGTCTCAGCTTGTCGGGTTGCACTTCGCGCGTCAGGCCAAGTCAGATCAGGCCAGGCAGGGCAGGACAGGTCTGGTCCAGCCAACCAGTCATCTGGTCAGCAGCACGAAGTAGTCGAGGTCAGGAAGGTGCCGGTCATCCTGATGATGCAACAAGATGCAATTCCTCAATCTCCATCTGCGCCTTCCTCTCCTTCCCGTTCCTGCGCCCTTTCCCTCCCGCGGTCGCATCCAGCCCCGGTCCTTCCACCTCCCGTCACGGGCTCACCTCACCTCAGCTTTGCCTGCCAAACGCACCTACCGACTCGGTAGTTTATCTCTAGGTACTTCCCTTGCCTTTGGCATTGCAGAATCAGATTGCAGATGAGGGCAGGTGCTTCTTCTTCTTTGCTTGGCTCCTGCCTCTTGGCCTTAGTTGATGTTTCTGTCCCTGCTTGCGCTTGCGCCGAAATGGCTCTCCTCCCCATTCTCTGCCGATACTGGACGCAATCTTGGGAACGACGGGAATTACATTACCCAGAACCCTCCCGGTACATGATGTGGTAAGGAGGTACTCGAACCCCCAAGTACCTACCTCACCTGGCCCGACTCTAAGCAGGAACACTAGCATCCCTCTCGGCACGGCGCAGCGCAGCAAAGCTACGACGTCCTGCTGCCAATACCAAATCCCACCCACAGTGCATGCACGGAGCGCGCGGGCAATACCAGCAGCAGCACCACCACCAGCCGCCAAAGTGGGGAAGCAACATGCTCTGGACGCAAATTGGAGAGGGGAGGGGTTATTTCTGACCATCACAAAAACCACGACTTTATTCCACGTCCCCTTTCCCGTCGCGGTTCTCGCGGAGTCTGGCCGCCCGCTACCTGCCTTGCCATTGCCACACGCTGCTTGAGCCTGCTTGGCTGCCATTCTGCTGGCACGGCTGGGCTGGGCTGGCCGGGTCTCAGTGGTCTGGCATCGAAAGACCGACTACTGCCGCTGGTGTTGCTGCTGCTTGGCCTCGAGCCGTGGGAGGGAGCTGGCCCTAGCACGAGCCAAGTACCGTCCCTTACACGCCCAGGCCAGAGTCTACCTCACCTCAAAGTGCCAACGCCGCAAAACGGGCTACAGGGGTTAAGGGGGGAAGACAGGCGCCACATGCCCCTCCGACCACTGACTGTCACTTGTCTCCGAACGGCCTTTCCTCACTTGGGAGATGACGTCGGAGAACCGGACGGCTTGTCTTGGATTTGATGTTGGAAACTTCTAATTGTGTTGGATTGGAACACTAGGCCATCCAACGCCAATGCCCTTGGCTCCGGTTCACGCATTCTCGTCCTGCTGGGCGTCGCTCCATTTCGCGCGTTTCTGCGATCCAACGACCGGCTATCACAACTATCACCGAGAACCCAGCAGCCAAGTACATCTCCGGGGGGTCTTCTCTGACTCGGCAGGCGAATCCCGCGGTGGGGGAGAACTGCGCGAGACTCAACGGTACTTCCACCTCATGTACAGCCCCGATAGGGCTATGTATCCTTAGTAAGCAGGACGACCCGCTGAGCCCGCTTACAAGACTAGTGCTCCAGCTGCATTGCAGGCCAATCTTGCAGTGAGTGAGGCATTTGGCCCAGCCTCCCCGCCTTCCGCCCGCTCCAGAATGGAAGAAGGAAGAACTGGGACAGACATGTGCCACTATGCGCCTCGCCATGTCATGCACGTACCGCGACGGGACCGCGACACCGCGACCTCGGACACCACATTC